CAGAGCCTTACCGATCTCTGTATCATCACCTGCCTGGTACCTGCAGTAGACTCACGCTTCTGGAGAAGCACCAGAAAATGAGGTCATGAAGTCCAAAGTTTGTGTACTCAGCTCTCTTGTGACTCAGTATATTTACTGTGAAACATAGTGGTCTCCATCCAGTTTCAGAAATCTGAAAGTCCTGGCTAAGGGTCTGGGCATCCTGAGTGATCCTGGAAGTAAGGGAAGCACACTCTGGGTAGGGTGCCAGTCCATCGCTGGGAGTGACCACACCCATGCTAAGACTCCCGCTACCCTGTTCTCAAAGACATGTGCCTCTTAACCTCTCTCCGAGCTGGGGCTGCTGTGGGCACACCAGGGCCAGGAGACGCTGATGTTTGTCTCCATTCTTGTAGGTTTTGGTGTGCTGGGCAGTCAGAGAATCAGGACAGAGAGCACTTCTCCACTGGACAGGACTCCAGTTACCTGGATTCTGACCAGCGCTGCAGGAGCTACGGGTTTCAGATGAATCATCTTCTTAGAACGTGAGAAATCTGCTTGGGCCTGAAATAGGTTTTGCTTATTGCTCATTGCAACTCTTGTGGTAGTGTCTAAATGTATTAAAGTTTCCATGTTTAGTGTTTATGCATTTTAATATATATAAATACTATATACATACATTTGAATTCTAAAGATGATTTATTATAAAGTCCTTTCAATGTTTTGAACCACAATGGAGGTTTAGAAAAGTAAATGAATTAATTGTAATGGGAAAAAAAACAATAATTAAAAATAAGCAATAGCACTGTGTTAAATAAAAAATATTCCTTTATTTAGTATAATGTCAATAATAAAGACATTTCACAATTGAAATAAATGAACTCTCTCAATAAAGAGATCATCCAAGTTGAGCTGTGTTGCTGGACTGTGTTTTCTCAGAACCAAGGCTTTTACTATACCTTCTCCTCCAATACACCAGGGAGTCAGTTTCACCAGTAAAGTTACAGACTCTGTGAGGACGTTTCTTTGATTGCAGAGACACAAGACGCAGACAAACAAAGACCTCACTTCCACATTATGAAAATGTAAAATCAAGCTCTCAACATCATCAACAAAAACTAAAACAACATGGGACAACTTCATATGGGACAACTTCATCATGTAGGAAGTTATTCAATGTGTGTGAAATTTAGAGATGCTTGTGCTGCATGTGTGTGTGTGTGTATGTTTTCACAGGACATGCTCAGGGCTGGTCAGTGCCACTGGGGCTGTTTCATGTCACATTATGAGCCTTGTCGAATCCAGTTTCACAATGAAAGCCTTCCGTACAATGACAAATGAGCATTAAGATTTACGGAAGCGGACTGCTGGCACTAAGGAAAAAAAAAATGTGTTCCCTTATCTCGTGATTACGAGATAGCAATGGTTACGTCAGTGTATATACAACCTGTGACGTTGTGCACTGAACGCATGTAGAATCTACGGTGAACTTGGCTGGCACTTTCGGTTTAACGATTGTGTCCAGCGCAGCAGAATTTGTACAGATTTCGACTGGGGTTCAGTCATAATGAAATCTTTACATTTTTAGCAAATATGATCAGAATCATTACAAGCATGGGGACCAGTTTTGTGGGATTTAGAGATCAAAGCAATGATGGTTCCGTTATGAACAGCTAGTTTTTTTTTTATCAAACGTATAAAGAGGTTACAAATACAAATCCAACCAGAGGTTAAGAAACTTGTACAAGAGATAAAAACACAAACAGAAAAAAACAATTAACTGCCAGAGGTAATGAAGTAAATTATGTGATCAAATTGTATTTTTTATACATATATCAAATGTTTTCCTTGCTTTAGCATTTTCCAATTTTTTATAGAATTTAAATAGTTTCAACTCCACCTCAAAAGTACTAAAAAGGGGAAGTATTATTAGAACATTTTGATTTATGAATGTGACATTTACACAGAATTACTAATAAATTTACTATAAATAAATGCTTTTTCCAAATTTTCTATTAAACAGTACAATAAAATATCAAAATCCTTAAATCTAAAAAGAACCTTTAACTGCCTGCAAAGAAAACTCTGCAAGTCCATCCAAAAAAAACTTCACAACCATACACCTAACAAAACTTGTGAACAATTTTAAACAATATCTCTTTAACTTTATTTGTAATACAATATCTATCAAAAGTTGTCCAAACTAATTTCCCATTGATATTTTCAAACATTGCATTCCAAAAAGATAAACAAGGAGGGATAAGATGGGGTTTACAAAGATTCCTTATACAGTATGCATGCTATTACATTTCTCATCCTTTATTTCCACACAATCCAAGAATAAATCAGTTGTAGGACCAGAAAGGAAGTCAGTCCTGATAACGCATTGATTTGCTTTTTACAAGTTCACTACACCTCCCAGAATGGCATAAAAAACTATTGCATATTCCTTAGGGGTGACAGGGAACTGAAACCTCTCCAGGAATTCAGGATAAGTAAACAATCTACTGTCTTCATTCAACAGTTGAGCCACTAAATAAATTTTGTTGTTGTACCAAGTCTGTAAAAAATAATCTTTTATTTTTATACTTAATGTCTTTATTATTCAAAATATAATATGTATGTGGTGAAAAATTGTATAATAAAGTCCAATATACAGTAATATAATTATAATGCTCCTTTATTAGCCCTATACAATTTCTTGCATTAGGAATTTGTCTTTTTGCATTCCCCAGCTTTTCTTCATGGAGACACAGACAGGGAGAGAAGCTGGGGGTCAGAGTGCAGGGTCAGCCATTGTACAGCACCCCTGGTGCAGCTGGGGTTAAGGGCCTTGCTCAGGGGCCCAATAGAGTAGGATTCCTCTGCCAGCTGTGGGATTTGAACCAACAACCTTCCAGTGCAGAGCCACTGCTCCGCCCCTGATAATACCTGCTTATGAAAATTAGACAATTTAATTGGGATTTTTTATATCAAAGTTACATTTTAACAGACTCAACTCTATGAATAATTAACCCTTTGAGGCCAGCAATCCAAACTTTCATCAAACACTGTATTAAAATCTCCATCCAAGATTATTTTAGCTTCCAAAAAATCTATTTAAAACCTTTTAAACTATCTTCTAATTCCTGAAAAAGAAGTCTATTTTGTATTTTATTATTGGTGGCATATACATTAACAAGTATAAACTGTTTCCCCTCAGTCAACTGTTAAAATGATCCATCTCTCAGAATGACGCATACTACTGTGAAGGATTTTCCCCTTAAAGTTCCCCTTCAAGACAGCAACCCCGGCTGAGTGATTAGTACCATTGGAAAGCCAAATATCATCCCCCCCCAAAGTGCAAATCCGATTGACATGCATGCATTTCCTGTATAAAATAAAAATCAGCACCCACTTTTTAACAAAACAAAAAATACGCTTTTCTTTTTACATTTCGAATACCTCTGTTATTAATAGAAAAAAAAAACAGAAAAAGACATATAACTAACTCTAAGATAAGTAACTTTAAAATAATCTATATTATTGAGTTTTTCAAGAACCAGAACTATAACAGTCCTTAAAACATGACTACACCATTCCAAACCAAAAATAAACACTAGTATATGCTGCTATAATAAATATAATCAAACATAATCATTAACTGGAACAAGCAGAAGTTATTTCCGCAGTGAAAAGTAGAAGAAAGAAAGAAAAAAAACGATGTTTCAGCTGTACAGCCTCTTTGCACGTCTCCCCAGCCAAATCTCTAAATCTTGAAACTCTTTCCAGGATTGTCAGCACTGTAACAGCAGAGGGCAGCACCTAACCTATAACGAAAAAACATAATTGAGAAGGACTAAATAAAGCATGAATGTGGAATTTAAAGTTTTATATTTTGCACTGTGCTAGATGTCAGCTCTCTATTCAAAATGTTCAGTATCTTAAATGTAATAGTCTGACGCATAATGGAATTAAATAGGATGTTCTTCTGCGAGTGCTCCCTGCGATCGGACACTCCTACACACGGGGGCAGCGCTTGGGCGGCGAGACAGGAGACCGGTGAAGATTTCTACGAACTCTGAGAGAAACAGAGATTAAGTTCAATATTGTATCTTTTGAAACCTAGTGCATAATAGCAATTGATTAAAACCCCTGGGATATCTGGGACGCATATCAATGAAGACGTATATTGGTTTCCGAAATATTAAATAAGGTACAGACGGAAAGTTTTTGGCCAACCCTTCTCCGAGTTCAAAATTGTATCGGCCCCCAGTGTCGAAAGGGTATTACCCTTACAACCCTTTTCAATCCCAAATTTGAAGATGTACAGTCGTTTGCTCATCATTCATCAGTTTATTCAAGTACAATACGAAACGGAATGTGAATAATACCGTTTCTACAATTTTCAGTTTGAACTTACAGTTTGTTCTTCGCTAATAAGAATATTCGAAGACATTTTTCTCTTTTTCTTATTAACACTCTCTTGTCCTTAATAAACCTTTTCAAGCAGCAAGGAAATATCATTTTCAGCTTTTGGGAAAAACAATTTCTGCTGTGTGAAAAGGTGCAGCAGGAAAATACTTTTCATGTCATATTGTTGCATATATGAGGCTTCAGAAAATTCTGGCTTTCAAACTCCCTGCTAACACTTGCAAATACGTGACACAGCCAAGCAGCTGCTTTTTTCAGAGACTACAACACTTTCCGCATGTTTTACGACAATTAAACATTTTTATTGTGTAACTATTGAATTTGACAAAAATGTGGTCCCTTTTTTCTCATTGTTTTGGACTGTTGTTTTACTGCAAAAATGAAGTTGTGTATTTTTACAGTTAAATTTCGGTATTTTAACATTCACAATTCACCGTGCGCTTAATGATTTGAGTCGCTTGCTATACAGATGCGCTTGGAAGGCAAAATCTACACGATCCCTTGTAGAGGACGCGGTAAAATATCGATGGACCCTAAACTGCTACCTTCTATAAGTGAGTGTAGCGAGGATTCAAGGCTTGTGCCTCAGAAAGCGTTTGATGCTTGGATTCAGGATTAGAGCGGTTCACGCACTGAGTGAACGGCAGGTTCACTTTATATTACTCCTAAAAAAAGACAAAATAGTTTATATTTTCATCTTAGTCTTAAGTGAAATTGCATTTTCAGGGCTCTAACTTAAGTTCGGGTTTAAAACCGCATGTGGACAAGTTTGGAAAGAGATGTTTGTTCCCAGAAGCTGACGTGGGACAGAGGATGTAACGCAGAGTGAGATTAGGAAAATTCCCAAGGAAACGATTCCCACCCGATCCCATCCAGGTGAGTAGTACTGGTAGCTCGCAATAAACCCATGTCACTTAACGCACCGTGTGATTACAGGCGGTGAATTAAAGACCATCTTGAAGATATCTTCGCTCCTTATTTATTGAAGTTCCAGGGTGGAGTTGCCGAAGGGCCATTAGACCACAGAGAGAGAGAAAACAAGGTTTGAGGTCGGATGCCCACTCCGTGAAGTAAATGATTCGTACTGCTGCTAACGATATCCTTCTTAAATTGGTGTGTTAATAGCCTACCACAATAACCGTGCTTCCCTATTGATATAATTGGTAGAAATACTTTATTCAGACCAAATTAGGCTATTAGGCTTAAGCACTCCTTCAGCTCTCCGGGTTTAGACCGTGGTTAGTACAGTATTCTTCACTCCAGCACGCAGGTTCAGAGCCGAGCTGAATTGCTCTGCTGAATTATTGACAAACTTTCTTTTTTTATGTCTGCAAGTGGGGCATCATCCTCCGCACAGCCCGGAGCGGAGAAGCGCTCGGCGCTGTGAGAGAGGATTGGTGTCCACCGGCCGTATGTGACCGGTCAGCCAGGAGCCAGGACAGCACAGGCCCGTCCGGGCACCGAAATAGCGCTGGACTGTGCGAGGAGTGTACCAGCTCTTTCTTAGTTCGCACCATACTTTGTATTGAAATAGTACTGTTAGAAATTCCCCGTTTAGTCTGAGTCATAAAGCTGGTCATTTTCCTACTCCTGTTACTGCTGCAGTAGCAGTCACAAACCCTATACTACTTACTGTACTCTCTGAGACTGATCCAGTACTTAGTTTAGAACAAGAGCTAATTAATCGCATTTTAATTGCTCCTAAATTGCATGCTAGATCACACTCTGCTGCAAATGATAATTGCACACAAGGGTTTTTAATAAAACCAGTGGAGGTAATACAACGATACTGAAGTTATGAGGTGTTAATTTTGACTGCACATTCAATTAGTCTATTTGGTAGCACAGCGCGTGCAATCGGCCTGCAACGAAATCAACCGGTAGCTGAACTGCTGGGAGCATATTTATTGCTATCTTGTTTCTCAATGGCGCAGCGAAAAGCTTGACTGCGAGAATAGATATAACTACTTGCTTCAAGAAAAAACATGGGTGAAGTTAGTGGCTCTGTTTGTGGGTCCGATTTTATTTATTCAGATCGCCACTGTATGAAAATCTGGGATACACGTGGATAAATACATCCATAAAGCATTGTTTTTCTGCCGGAATGTACTCGGCAGGCTGCGTTTATTTAAATAATCTTACGTTAACACATTAGAGTCTGCACGGCCGGGGCAGAGCGGTCCGGTTCCGTGGTGACCCAAACCTCTGAAGCATCAGTCTAAGGAGTATCAAATGTTTAATATTATTCGAAAAAGCCCAGACGTGTTATATTTTAAGAGAAATTCTGTGATTTACTTTTTTTAAGTCCTGAAGTGTGCCGTTAGGATGAGATCTCCTCACCCTGCCGAAGAGGCTGGGCCAGGCGCTGTGTACTGGGCCTTTGGAGAGCAGAGACGCGGCGCTCCCAGACTCTGAATCTCCATTACAGCCGGACGGGGCGCAGAGAGAGCACGGCTGTGTTTAATGGGATATCAGGTATCCCAGGCTTTACTTTCGCGCTGTCTCCCCGAGCAAATCCTATTATTATCAACAACTGCAAAGCTGAGAGACGTCCTAACAGTTTCTCTGCATCAGAGATCACCAGGGCTTCAAGCTAAATGTCAGTGCAAATTGCCAAGGCTCAAAATATTTAACCTGACTTACACCTCTTCTGTCAAGAGAGCAGCTGCAGAACAGGTGTTTATTTTGCTGGTCACAAAGATTTCGGGTACACCAGTGTTTTGTAACCAAAACGCTTCCTTCTCTGCTCTGCATTTGAGTTTTTCTACCACTTTATAAAGCAGATGAAAGAAAAGAAACTGCATAAAAAGCTGTCTTGAGAACAGTCCAAGTTCACTTGTACAGAATTTACTCCCTCACTGTCCTTCTGTGTCCCCTCTAAACAAAACTCAGTAAAGCAACATCTTGCCGGTTTCTGAACGCCAATTTCCATACAAGTTATGTTAATTAATATGTCTGTAAAGGAAACCCATGTGGTTTTGAAAGTTGTTTGATGCTGGGAGAAAATTCTTTTCTTTTAGTGGTGTTTATGAGGCAGACAGAGAGCATCTATTTTAAGGATCATCTGTTGCAATAAATCAAACTCCTATCAGCATGACTGTTGGAAAGAAGCAAATCCAGAAACAATACAAGTATCGCACAGGGCTGTGAAGATAGTTAACAGTTATCTATCAGCTCGCAATAACAGTTTCATTCATTTCCACACTCTGTACTCCTTACCAAGGACAGAGTTTTCCAAATGTTTTGGAAGAGAGAGTTTTCTGGAAGAATCATTTCAGGAGCAGCTGGCTGCTTTGTGTCCTCCCAATTTCATGAAACTGGATGAAAGGAGTTTCTGGACAACGGGACAGCGAAACTGACACAAGAGTTAGAATAAAGCAGCACATCAAGTTCTCTCTTCCTCTTGATGATGTAAGTGCAGTGCTTGTATTCACTGATGGAGTCTGCAGTGGGTCTTTCCTCTTCACGGGAGGCTCAGTCTGCCACCCTAGAACCTCACTGTGTTTAACGTGTCTCAGTTTGATTTGATTCATGCTCCTGGATGCTCGCGCCTCAGTCTGCCTGGCGATGCTCTGCAGCTTGCTCTCCCCATGTCTGTGTTTTTCTGAAAGACAGGCTGGCAGCCTGACTGGCTGTGCTGAGCATGCAGACTCCACACAGAAAGATTCAGGCCCAGGACTCTAGCGCTGTGAGGCAGGAGGGCTGACTGACATGGCTCTTTCCCACTCAATAACAGTGCCAGTACCAGTAACGGTTTCTGCATTTCATGAATCTAGTCTGACTGGTTGTACATGGATCTTTTTGAAGATGGGATCCTGGGAAACTGTGCTTGGTGTCTTGTTGCTCTTGGTCTGCATAAATGTGACCCCCATGAAGGACACAGTCCAGTGTCAGTCAGAGGTTTTGGTTCTGCATGAGATAAAATTGAATTACCTTGCGGTGATCCTGTGGTGGACAGCTGTCAGCTGTGAGCTGGAGTGTTTGTGTGGAGATGGTGGAGGGGTGAGCTGCTGGTGGCTAGTGGACGAAAGCCACAACGCAAAAACTCCAGCAGCTGCGCAGGAAGCTGAGGGAAGCACTGTGAAGCACTGCAAAGCAGTGAAGTGTTTATTAAGTCTGTAGATCACAGAGAGATCTTAGCTTCAGGGAAACACTGAGACAGTCTTCACAGGAAATTAAATTGAAAGTTTTGTTGTTTTTAGATTAAAAATTAATAAAAGAACATTTTTCATGTTTGTAGCAAATTTAATCTGCATTTTGCATTTACATGTGCATCAGGTGATCATAGTAGTAATAATTATGTAAATTTGTTAGCAGACCCAACAATCTAGTTTGAATTACATTTAGCAATAATACACATTAATAAAAGCCAAAAGCTCCATTCCATAACAGGAAAACCGGGTCCCTTGTTGTATGGTGGAGCTCGTGTTGAAATATCGGTTTGATACGGCTGCAGCCCTGTGAAACGTGCGACTGATCCAGAAAGACTTGTTACATCCTGGTCCCTCAAACCCCTGATCAGCAGGCTGCCATGCGAGCAGGTTAAAGAGTAATTGTCAGGCTTAAACCTGTGGCTGACGTACCCCTGAACTGCACGCAGGATTTGTGGCAGCACAGAGACTGCAGGTGTCGTGCTCTTGTCCGCAGGAGCTGGGTGGCCTGGCTGAAGGGTGGAGCTGGATGAGGTGACCATGGTGAGCGAGACCCTGCCTGCCTGGGACCCCAACCCCGAGGACAGCCTGGTGCGCGTCAACGTGGGGGGCCTGAAGCAGAGCCTGTGCTCCAGCACCCTGCGCAGGTTCCCTGACACCCGGCTGGGGCGCCTGCTGGCCTGCGAGTCCGAGGAGGCCATCCTGCAGGTGTGCGACGACTACGACGTCCAGGAGAAGGAGTTCTACTTCGACCGCAACCCGGGACTCTTCCCCTACGTGCTGCACTTCTACCAGACGGGCAAGCTGCACATCATGGAGGAGCTGTGCGTCTTCTCCTTCTGCCAGGAGATCGAGTACTGGGGCATCAACGAGTTCTTCCTGGACAGCTGCTGCAGCTACCGCTACCACGATCGCAAGCTGGAGGGCTGCCACAAGAGCTGGGACGAGGACAGCGACGTGAGCAGCGTGGACACCTCGGTGGACGAGATCTCCGACCTCAACAAGGACATGCAGCACTTTCAGGACGTGCGCTGCGGCGGCTTACGCAAGCGGCTGTGGCTGACGCTGGAGAACCCCGGCTACTCCATCCCCAGCAAGCTCTTCAGCTTCGTCTCCATCAGCGTGGTCCTCACCTCCATCGCCACCATGTGCATCCACAGCATCCCTGAGTACCAGCAGCTGGACCAGGACGGGCAGCCGCGCGAGGACGCCACGCTGCAGGCCCTGGAGTACTTCTGCATCTGCTGGTTCACCTTCGAGGTGCTGGCCCGCATGGCGCTGGCCCCCAACACCCGCAAGTTCTTCCTGCACCCCCTGAACATGATCGACATTGTGTCCGTCCTGCCCATCTACATCACGCTGGTCTTTGACCTGAGCGTGGGCAGCGATTCCGAGCTGGGCGACATCGGCAAGCTGGTGCAGGTGTTCCGCCTCATGCGGATCTTCCGCGTGCTGAAGCTGGCCAGGCACTCCACCGGCCTGCGGTCGCTCGGGGCCACGCTGAGGGTGAGGCCCTGCTCCCCGTCTCATCAAGCTCCACCGATGCATGTCTGCCCACTGTAGAGGACCTCATTTTCACACTGTTGAGGCACACTGGGGAGTCGGGGTCTTCCGCTCCTTTTGAAAGTGTGGGTTGTCTCAGGCCAGAATGTTCTTCCATCTCGCAGAGCCCCGCAGCACGCAAACTGCTCATCATGCTTAAACCAGCATTAATACTTGGGAATTAATTGTTTGAAAGACCATAAGGTTGGCAAAAAAACAGCTTTGTGTAGGGTTGGAAACGCATATAAACCAGCTCTGTAGTGAATATTTAGGGAAGCCATTATATATTATTTAACCAGGAATCAGAGATGGTTATTGTCCTACTGTCCAGTGAAGGTGTAGTGAGTATGGGGGAGGTCCTGTTCAGCTCTATATAGAGTAAACTTAAGTCACGAAAGAGGAAAGCAGGCCTAGGCAGTATCTTTTATTACTGTAGCATGAGCTCAATGTATTACCAATACAGAACAAAAGCAAAATATGGTTCATCCTGTTTCACACAAGACGGTTTACTCTGCCTCCTGGTCAGCTCCTGAAGCACGGGTAGGCCAGATCATCCCTGCTCTGCCAGGTGAGGCAGAGGTGGCTGAGGTGCCAGGCACGCGCAGGAGAAGGCAGTGTGTACCGGAGGAGAAGTGTCCTGCCTCACGATTCCAGAACACACTGTTCTGGAACTCTCCAGGAAGTCAAGCAATGCATAAGAGCCCAGATGTAACTTGAAGCGTTAGGCTGGCAGCAAATCAAATGACCACGGCCAGTGAAAGTGATCCTTCCTCATTATGAACCTTCCTATGATCTCCATCTGATAGAGAAATATTGTTCATTAATGAATTTAAGAATTTCCTGTGCCCTTTCTAGTGTATCTCTAGGATTAGTGTACACCATACTGACCAGCCCCTGTCGTGGTATATGAGTGTTCATTGATGGACTAAAGTATCACCATGTATCTCTTCTACCTCTTACATTCCTGTTACAGTTACATTATACACAACAGTGCTTTCTGGTTCCTGGTGATTTCTGTGTCCACAGTTCTTAATAGGTGCTAATTTATTAACAGACAGGGGTCCAAGTGACACTGTATCACATGTCCACTGTAAGCATTACTTTCCTTCTGCAGATATGTCCTGTTACATTTTAGACAACACACCTGACTAAGGGGAGCTCTGAAAATCAGAAACTGCTAGTAAGGTGCTACCAATTATTATTCCCATTCAAAATATTAAGAGCTGAAAAATATAAAAAAATATTTCAGTGACAAAACTGAAACCAATTAACTTGTGGTAAAGAATTCAGCTTGAACATAAAACAGGTGTTTGTGACTGAGTTAGAGAAATACAAAAAATGTACAGCACATCATTTATATATTGTTAAACCTTATTTATATGTATTTTACACAACAATGATCATTATTCAATAATTGTAATTTTTTTAGAAGTGACCCATTCTGTCCAAAGTAATGGGAAGGTCCCACCACAAAACGTGAGCACTGCGAAGTAGTAGCAGACAAGGGTTTTCCAAGGCTCAGGCTATTGTCCTCCCAAGAGGAAGTTCTCCTTTCTCACAGAAGGCAATAGCAGAGCTGGCTAATGCATTTATTCAGACACCCCTTGGGGGTTGGCAGGTAAAGGTTGCTGGATAAAAATGCAAACTGACACCAATACAAAACAATTCAGACTGGCCGCTGAAAGAAGCCACGGAGCTCCTACCCCCATTTATCAGAGAGCTGCGTCAGCTGTGGTCGAGTGTGTGCTTCCACAGCTCCACAGGCTGGTGAGAGTGCTCATGGAACTCCCGCCTTCACGTGCAGCAGCTGTAACCCCTCCCCACTAACAGACAGGCGCTGCTGTGGTGCTTTGGTAGGGTGGTGTATGAAACGGGTCTGTGTCTCAGCACTGTGCCGACTGAGGCCTTGTCCTGTCTCTCTCTCTGTCTCTCTGCCTGCAGCACAGTTACCGTGAGGTTGGCATCCTGCTGCTGTACCTGGCGGTGGGCGTGTCGGTGTTCTCGGGCATGGCGTACACAGCCGAGTACGAGGAGGACGTGGGGCTGGACACCATCCCTGCCTGCTGGTGGTGGGGCACCGTCAGCATGACCACAGTGGGCTACGGCGATGTGGTGCCCGTCACCATCGCCGGCAAGCTGGCAGCCTCCGGCTGCATCCTGGGGGGCATCCTGGTGGTGGCGCTCCCCATCACCATCATCTTCAACAAGTTCTCCCACTTCTACCGCAAGCAGAAGGCGCTGGAGGCCTCCGTGAGGAACAGCAACAGCAACAACCCCCCCAGCCCGATGGCGAAGAGGCACTCGGTGGCGTCGGAGGGCTCGGAGGGGGACAGTCAGTGTCTGGAGGAACTGGAGGACGATGAGGACATGGGGGAGGAGAGATCAGGGAGCATCAGCAGTGCAGGTTTCCTCACTCCCTGGAAGAGCAGCAGCCCCGTGGTCAAGAGGAAAGAGCAGCCCAGCTTCCAGTAGGCTCCTCATACAGCTCTGCCATATTAAAGTAAAGAGCCTTGCTTATTAGCATGCAGAAGAACTTCAAGGCTCAAAACCAGAGCAGCAAGGACAATCTGGTGGCTTGGTCATGTGCATGTAAAGGGCCTGACATAGAGAGACTCTGCAGAATGCCTTTCTCCATTTTCCCTGGCTTTAGAAGCATTTGTAGGTCGTGTAGACAATTGTATCGCACCGCCGAGCAGCAGGTCTCTGTGAGACAAGAGGTGGTCTAATGGACGACTAAGCTGTTGGAAATAGGACATAACAGGCTGAGAGACTGAGAGACTTCAAACACAATGCAGGGCTATTTACTCCATGGAGATTAATTCACAGAGCTTGCTTTTGTGTTTATTCTGTGACGGAAAGGAAGGGAAACAACTGGCGAGCAGCAGGAAAGCTCTGCTAACACGAGGCGTCCGAGAGCCTTCAACATCAAGGGCAGAACCGCCGACGAGTCCAGGGGCACAAGCGCTGTCTTGCACCTGTGGCTGGGTGCTCAGTGGGACCCCAGCTCACCAGCCCCCTGGCTGCAGCCGTCAGACACCACGATTCCACCTCTCCACTGCAGCCCAAGACATCTGCCAAACAGAAACCTCCGTCCTCAAACCCAATTTACATCACTTTGGTTCAGATTCGAACCCGGCGTTCAGTACTTCAATACGCACACAGAACACAAGCAGACTGAAGAGGTTGATTCTCTGCTGTTTGCAGTAGCTTTTAGTCATAACAGCTTATATTAACCATGATGAAGGATCCACTCTACCAGGATGACGTTTAAGTTTTTATTGCCTTCATAGCCTGAGGGCTAAATAGACGCTCCTGAGAGATGATTTTATTAATGCATTGAACTGCGCAGTTCCTGAGAAAGATACATCTTTATTCGCTTAGTGCTTCCATCTGCTGCTATGCTGCTCTGTCTCTGCCTTTATTTGAGCTCAGGCTCAGGAACCTGAATCATCCTTCCCTGCACTCCTGCCTCAGGAGCTCTGTCTGGCTCCTCCCATTTATGCAATTTCTTCATCTTCACCCAGCTGATGAAAACAACAGAAATTGTAGTTGATGAATGTGAGTGTATTTGTGGTTCAAATCAATATTACAAAAAGCGTGCACTTGTTCACTTACAGTTTTGCTCAATTGCTTATATGAAATTCCTGAAACTGGTGACAATGTTGGAGCAGTGAACCCATATCCCCAAACTCTATCACAGTTTGCAAAATAATGCAAAATGCCCCAAGACACTCAAAATATTTACCACAAAGCTCAAAATAAAAAAAGTCTGCCAAACAGTACAACTGTGGGTAAATGGGAAACTCTCTCTCTCAGTGTTCAAATAGCACCATACAAAATACTATGTATCAACACTATGTATGATCTTGAGTGCATGTTGGATCTTACAGTCCAGCTGTGACTGGACATCACTGCAAGTGTCTTTAATGTATCAACAGTTTTGCTGTAAATAAGGACATTCCCACACACAATATAATAAAAAACAATATATTTGGGGAAAGTCTTCACTCAGTAAACTGAAACCAATGCACATACATAAAGAGAAACAATGTAATATTGTAAACAATTTTTCATTCCGTAAATCCAGTAAATCAAGAAAGATTAGTGGTCCAATTAAACAAAAACCAAAAAAGTGAAAGAGACAATAAAGATCAATTGTACACACTTCACTGGCCATTCAGTCTCTCTACACAGCTGGGACAGATGTTTATCCACATCGCACCTCATGGATTCTCTTTTAGTGCAAGTAAAACCATTCTGCAGCCTCCTTCAGTCCCTGTTCTGTCCCCACAAGCAGCCCTCATTACCTCCAGCAGAACCCATGTGATCCTTCATGTGTGTTGCAGGAGGGGTAACGTGACCATTCGCACACATCGAGCAGAGGTCACATGACCATTCGCACATCGAGCAGAGGTCATGTGACCATCCGTACATGTTGCAGCAGGTAAACAATATATTAGGTCACCAGTGAATCAGTGTCTGTTATATCCATCGAGTGTTGAACAATTTTAGCAGTTAAGATTTGTACCCATGAGGTAGTTGACCACACTTGGAACTGGTTTCTCTGTGAGCTCTGTGAGCAACACATTCTGTTGCTCAAGTCATAATCTATTGGTCTGTGTGTCAGTTGCAGAATTCTATAATCATTGATTAGCACAAATGTGCTTGACCTGTGCATCTTGTGTGAACACAATCATAAATGATATAGTGATTCACAAATCATGCTACTGTTGCAGGGATTGCATCAACAGTTTTGAAAAAGTAGATAATGTTTCAGGAATTATGTTTAAGCATTCGAGAAAAACTATAACACTTACCTAGTGACAATTTTTATTTTTGTTGAAAGATCAGCAGCACATGGTGCCTTACAGTTTACTGGAGAGTAACTTCTAACTTTTCATGAAGCTAGAGTGGATATCAAAATATTCACGTCCCTTGGACTTTGTCCTATTTCATTGTCTTACAATATGAAATCATAATGTACTGTATTTAACTTTCCTGCTGTGGTTACTGTCCCTGTAGAAAGAGACACATCTCGTATAGAAGCTGCGTATTTTAAGCAGCTTGGGAGCAGAATTGTTATCATTATTAATAACCAAACTGTTTATGAGAAACTTTAATGTTTAAATATTTTTGTTGTCACAAGTGTCACCTTTAAATACAATTTCCAAAATAGCTCTCCAAAACATAATTTTAAAGTAATGGCATCAGATTATTAGCCAGGTTGGATGGAATCAAAGTTCAACATCTAGTCATTTTTCCAATGACAGGTAGCTTTTTTCAAATCCCTTATGTAAAGTGAAAAAGCCGGAGGAGCTGCAGCAGCAGGCCTGGGTTACAGGATGGTGCAAGCCCACTGCACAAGACGATACTTTCTCACAGTTGCCAAACGCTGCTTATGAGAAACTACGGATCCTAAATATTAACCCAAAGCAATAATGGAAGAGTCTTCCTTTCTCAGGGTCTGCTTTACTGAGCTTTGTGTCTTTAAAAGCATTTGGTGTTAATGCTTTTAAGAAGGTTAAGAGTTTGATACTAAGGCAGGCAAGACCTCCCAGAAACAACTGCCTCTGTTGTACTGGGATTCCAGACTTCCAAATTAAATTAAACCGCTTCCACTCAGCTCCTCTAATTAGTTTGACTTGAGGCACTGCAAATTCCCAAGGCTAGCTTCAGGATGGCAAATCCCCATTGAGGTCTTGCACTGTGGCAACCAGGAACAGTAAGACAGAGTATTTCAGCACTGTCTGTATTTATCTCCCTGACATTCTACTAAACGTGCCAGTGCTTTCTTGGGTGCAGGATTCTGTTCCCTGTATCAACGCAGCCCTTGTGCATTTGATAGAAACTGCCAAGCAGTAACACTGAGGAACATGTGCTTTAACACACCAGCCTGCTGGTGCCACAGGTAGCACCTGACCTCACAAGACCTGGGCACTTTGACCCTGAGTCACCCAGCTCTTCCTCTCATGCCCCAGGAGAAAGCCCACTTCAACATGCCAGTCTTCCTTCATGCACTTTGGCATCTCGTCAGTCTTCCAGCAGCTCCCCGAGACAGAGCAATGAACATACCGATCTGCAAACCACCTCCTCCTCTATAGGTAATACACTTTATTTCTTATTTAATGCTAGCACAAGGGTAGGGGGGACTTTAATATCTAAACATGCTAGTTACATTCGTTACCTCTCCAGAACACCAGGAGCTTCCATCCAGGTGAAATTCAGATTTGAGGGATGACTGAGCTGCAGACGAGCATGGCCCTGTAATCAAATGCAGTCTTCCTTGACCAGAGGGCTGTGAGGTGATACGGTCTGAGGATTGTATTCACAGTTCAGTTCCTTTTATTGGGAAAGAAGACATTTAAAAATAGCAAATGATTAATGGCAGGTCTCTTGCTTCCAAAGGCTTTATACAGATATTGTATAGTATTGCATCTCAGCTCTGAGACGCTGGCAGTGGCTGGGGAAAAACAATCCTGACCTTTCATTAAAGAGCACCTGCAACTGCACGACTTCGACCACATTGTCGTTATTGCCCTCAGGTGCTCATCAACTTTACACCTCACAAATAAAATGTCAAACTTGTGTTTTTCTCTGGGCCACTACCTCGAAATATGAAATCTCATTGCTCTACAGGCCTAAAAAAATCCTTATTAACATTAGAACCAATCTGTGTTCCTGACTGTTTTGGGGGCTGCCCTATGACACTGTAAAGTCGATGTAGTTATTCTGGGCATGTCGTATGCATATAATCTTGGGTATGAGCTGGATATACATGTATATATAAATGTGTTTTATTCAATAAAGATTAAATAAGAACAAGCATGGCTTTTATTTTTAATGTGTAGCAGAAATAGAAAATAGCAAGAAAATCAAACAGCAAAAAATATCTTGGCAGAAAAGACCATCTCCACCTCTCGTAAAAGGCATTTTACCAGCAGGAGTCCACAGTATTTTCTGGTAAAGAATAAGAAAGAAGGGAATGCTCATGTTACAAATTGAGAATCGTGTAACAGGAAAAACTCATTGTTGAGCGGAATGCTTGTGGGAATTGAAGAAAGTCAGTCAGGAAAACTGAAAAGGTGAAAACGCCTGAGCCAAGCGATGCTGAACCAACCACTGCTGCAAACATAGTAAGGCAGGAAAATCTCTCTTCCTCTCCACTTTTCTCTCTCTTGGTTTACGACTCGCTCTCTCCTTCTCTTTGCTACTTGATTACGCAGAAAGATCATGCAAAAGGCTTTCTTTCAATAGGTATCGCAACAGTATACAAGCAAATTTTTTAATCGGGACAAAGTGGAACAACTCTAAATACAACAAATCGAGAAAGAACAGTTATGTTTTACTGAATTTGCAAGGGAAATACTGTTAGCGCCTTTGTCCCCAGTATTACAGCGTGCTCTCCACTTCAGCTAAAGCACAATAAACACAAGCCCACCAGACACCAGGTGACAAGAGTGGCTCCGTATCGGACACTCCTGCTATTAAAAATTAATACCCTTAGCTATTTTAGCTAACCAGGACAAATCAAACAGGAACATAGGAAGAAGAGGATGGAAATGAGCTTGAGTTCTTTTACATTCAGGAGTTTTATACCACAGCACTAAAACTTTTAAAGGAGAAGTAGAGGACAGATTTGCAAAGGTATTCATAAAAACTGCACTTCCTCCTCGTCAGTTATTCACCTATGGAACAGGAAAAAAAAATAATCTGAAAAAATATTACTACAAAGAGTGAATATAAAATTTTTTAATGTACAAACTCTACAAAACACTTTAAAAAATGTGTTATTCCACATTATTGCAAAATTAAGGACTATTTTTGCTACCGTCATTATGGAATAACAGATCCGTTCATTCCCATAAAGACACGCCCTGAAACATGATCCAGTGGACACTATACTTCTATTAAAAATATCATTTTTAAACGAAAGACCAAAAAAACACAATTTAAATTCATCAACATAACATCACACATAGAGATTGCATTCTTTCTTTAACACAATGTGCCCCCACAGAGTTTGTCAGATAGACTATAAGGCCACTGTGGTAGTAAGGAAAATGTGGTTTAATGTTAACCCTTTTCAAAAATGTATTTGCAATTAAAACTCAACAGATAAAAGGAAAGATGCACATTCCTTCAAATCTAAGACACAGTTTTTGTTATATAGTGTAGCAGCCAGGAGGTCTGATAATGGATAGGAAGGCAAGAGACTCAGACTCAGCTCACACTATTACATCACTCCAACCTGAAACACAGAACTCGAATTTTACGCTGTGCGCTAACATACCGATATTTCACTATTAAAATCCCTTTAAATCATTTATACACATAACTGAAATTATTTGTAACAGCAATTGACTGGCAGCATTTACAAGACTTGAGAGGAAAGATTCCAGTTCTTCTGTGTGGTCACGCGGGCTTTATGACAATACTAAAATCACTCAAAAACCCTGAGCAAACCCTGACCCCGAGAAGCTGGTTATCGCATAATTAAAAACAAGAAAAGGCTTTACAGACATTGCAACTGCATTGCTACTGTAAACAAAAACTGAACAATGAAAACACCTGAACTGAAATGTTAGCCGGAATTAAAGCCATGATCAAGCGGACAAAAGATCCACCGAACAGAAGAGGCCGACAGCGCGGGCTGGCACTCTCTGAGCAGCCGCCTGCTGGGCTCTGCATTTACTTGGAGCCCTAATTCAATTACACAGCAGTCTGCTGCTGAAACCGGCTCGGAGAGAGCACTTCAGAAAACTGGGAAGCTGCATTTCTGGACCACTTCCCCTCTATGATCTCCCAGTGGAACCACATTATCTCATGACTGTAAACTCGCCATCAGCAGTGCTCTAACCTCTCTGTGCAGAGAATCACACAGATGTGGGCACTGGGAATGTTTTTCTTTCTGACCGACTAGTGACTCTTCCCATGAGGTGGAGTCATGGTTCAACTGCATGGTTCAAATGAAGTGCATTGATCTAGGTCCTTACTTTTACTATACCAAAAATAACAGTGCTGCAAAAACACAGATCAGAGGATAGCAGACTATGTTACTGCTCTGAAGTGAAGAATTCACATCTATCTAATGGAAAAACACATATGCATATACAATGTACCTATTAAGCAGTCTCTGTATTGATATCTCGCTCAAACCACTCCCTAAGAGGTTTCCTTTTGTGGGTGGATACTGCAGCTAAACAATGCTGCAGCAATTTTTTCAAGCCACCTTCTAGGAGCAATACTCCAGTACCACAGTAGTAAAAAAAAAAAAATTCAGCTTGCTCATACAGTCAGACTTACCTGTACTGTATAAAAACAATAAAAGTAATAAGTTAAGACCTTTTCTGCACCTCAGCAGTCCAAATTTACAGCACATCACAGTCTTGTACCAAATATGTTTTGTATGAAAAATACATTTAAAAAAATCAACTTCAAAATCTGGAAAGGAATAGAAAAATCAATGGGATCAGCCCGTTTTTTCAGTTGCTCAGTACAGTGCAGAGACAGACTCGGAGAAGTCCTGTCTTTGGGACAGAGGTCAGGGAGCAGTGGCCACACTCCTTTTCCACCATGCTCCTCCAACAGCTACCATGGTAACTCTGGGCCTCAGAAGTTCTTCTGGCGCCGTTTCTTGGCCTCGATGGCATCCAGGATGGGCTGGCGCTTGGTCTGATACCGCTGGCGGATCTCCTCGATCTCCTGCTCCATCTGGGGCTCCAGCGAAGTCAGGCGGCTTTGCAGCTCCTCCACACTCCAGTTCTTCATCTGCAGAGGCAGGAGTCCCTGTTAAACTAGCACCCCACAGACCCCAATATCCTTCTCACAGACCCCATAAACCCCTAAAGTGACAATAAATACTCCCCCAACACTCACAGTCAACACACTTCTTTATACCAACTCCAAATATCACCTCGCCATTGTCACTTTTTTTTTTTTTGTCACCCCAGTGGTATCGTTTTCTACTGTAACCTCAAGTTAAAAGCAGTTCTCTCACTAACACTCTGGCTTGTCAGTCACTATGGAGGAGGCAAAGAAACTCAGCTTCATGTGGTTACATTTCATGATCAGGGAAAGCTACAGCATAACTGCCTCTTGAATGAATGCAACTGAAATTCTGTACAAAAAACTGCCAGGGGTCAACCATACGAACGCTTATGCCAGAAAATGTGAAGTCAGTTTTTTAGCTTTCAATAACAGTTTTCTAACCTCAAGCAAGAAAAGAAAATCAGAATTCTGCTTTAAGACTGGGGCACTACTGTACAAGTACTTGTTCACATCACATGGACTCCTATTACAGAAGCGATCAGGCTATTTAACGCTCAGATCAATGAAGTAAAAATAACATCAGTATCCTGTCTCATGGAGCCACGGAGAGCATGACTGAAGCTGTTCTGTCAAACGGACATGACACCAGCGAGCACAGGGCCAGGCCTGTCAGCCAGGCCTCCAGGAAAGCAGGGCTGATGAAGGTCACACTGCTCTCCTGCTCCTCTCTGGAAATCATCTGCATTCCAGGCCACACGCATCACGCCAGCGCTCACCTCGCACGGCGAGCACAGAGCGAGCACGAGAAGCGTGCGATTGCAGGGCAGAGGAACACTGCTGCTGGGCGCCTGGGTGACTTTGTGACTTCCAGGAGAGGAAACGAGATGCCAGGCTGCTGAAGCTCCTAATTGATCGCTTGCCTGAAACAGCTGAAAGGGAAGAGTCCGGCCAGCAGAGCAGATTACAGAAGAGCTCTGGCCTGGTCACAAGTTCTGATACCTTTTTGGTATAAGCTCTCAAAGTCCACCATTACATATCCCTACACCTGGAAAATTAATTTCGGAATGAAACTGTTAAGTTATACTAAGACACCATTTATGAAAATATATCTTAGCCAATGAAGATCCTCCATTTCAAATGAAGTGTCCTGTGAAGGGCACATTCCTCCTGCTGCTCCTTCCTCTTCCTCACCCCACCCTGCAATGTCCTGTGAAGGGCACACTCCTCCTCCTGATCCTTCCTCTTCCTCGCCCCACCCTGCAGTGTCCTGTGAAGGGCAGACTCCTCCTCCTGCTCCTTCCTCTTCCTCTCCCCACCCTGCAGTGTCCTGTGAAGGGCAGACTCCTCCTGATCCTTCCTCTTCCTCACCCCACCCTGCAGTGTCCTGTGAAGGGCACATTTCTCCTCCTGATCCTTCCTCTTCCTTACCCCACCCTGCAGTGTCCTGTGAAGGGCAGACTCCTCCTCCTGCTCCTTCTCTACAGTGGAAAACAGGCCTGAAAGACCAGAGACTCAGGTATTGACTCCTCTCTTTCACCTTCCTTTGTAACAATTCTGCATCTCATCATCCTACCAGTCCCCTGACATGGGATTTAAACATTTACAAAATCTGCCAATGATAGAGAATCTAAGATGCTTCCCTAATTTATGAGATGCACTGAATCAAGCGAGCACACACAGTATACACAGACATAAACTGCTTTTTACAACTCCTCCCTGAGGAGCATTCATTAGGCATTAAGAGACAGACCAATTAAATGACAAACTGTTCTTTAATTCAGCTCCCTAATCCCAGTGTCCCTTCCAGGCTCACAGTTTCAATTAAAAGCTGATAAGTAGGCTTGTTGGCCTATTTCCCTCAAGGGAATGCTTCTCTAGAACTGTGACACGGCTCTCCAGACAGCTGCAACAAATATTGTTGCTTCCTTCAGGAAATGTTGGGGGTAAAATGCATATCAGAACAATGAGACAGAATTAGATTTTATCCTGTTATTGATCATGTACCATATCTTTAACTATAAATAGTTATGAATATTATTACAGGGCTTATTTCACTGTGGTCAATGACTTGAAAATCAAACAAAGAAAACATTTACCATAAATGAAGACACACAGAAATGACACACTGCCCCACACTGGCTTGCAAGGACTGAGCCGAGTGGTGTAACCGGTGCTGGCAGATGGAGTTAACAGAACCAGTACACAAGCAGCTCTTAAACTGCAGCCCTGAGCCAGAGACACGCCCCACACAGCAACCCACAGGCATCTCAGATTGAATCACCACCACACAGAGCGCGAGGAAGGGTGGGTATTCAATATGTCAATGCAAACCAGGTTTCAACTCTCCTCCTCAGACATCTGAGATCATTGAAGCTAATTGCCCTTTTCTTCTGTGATCAAACCTCCATCACTTTCTTCTGACCTTTACCAACTCACGGCTTGACTGTCAGGTACAGTGCGCAGAGCAAACACTCACTGTGATAAGACGCCTCCTTTCTGAAGGCAAATAAAAAGCACCAGATACACGCACTGTGTGCCACGGTGCATACTGAACACCACCTTGCCAGGCGAAGAACAAGCTTGTTTGTCCTCTGCTTGCAACAGCTCATCTGCTCGCTTTCTGAATTTGGTTTTACACCTTAATGAGCATCATAGCGATAGCCTGGAGATATGAAAGGCACAATAACCTTGCATTCATTATTTTATACTGACTAATCATGTTTCACTTTACCAGTACTGTGTTAAAAGTCATAAATCAGAACTACAGAATACATTAAAATAGAAAAAAACAATGTATCTAACTTTTGTCCAATATACTTAGAACTAATGAAACAAATGTACTTTACTGCAGACTGTAATTTTCATGCTAGCCAATAAGTAACAGGAGTGAAAAACTTTTGAAAATCAGCTTTGATCTCTTTCATATCTTATTTATTACTCAAATGAACTTCTCAGAAATCACAAAGTCATTTCGGATACAGACTCCTTTTTCACAAGTTTAAGATCTAATCCAGTTATAGTATTGTGGGGTGCAAGGGGCTGCCCTGTCCTGCAACTCTGAAGAAACTAAAGCAGTATAATCCCTAACAGATAAATATGAAGGATGGGTATGCAGACAAGAACTAAGAGTGACCTGCACATTAATGAGAGATAACTGGCATCCTTTTAAATTCATCCTAGGAGCAGTTCTTTATTTTCCAACTAAATGCAAGCGGTTGATACTGCTGTTCAGACCCTCGGCTTTCAGTGATGCTGCAGTTGCCGTTATTGTGCTTCTGAAGCAGAGGAGGGAAGCTGGCCCTGCGTGGAATTCTTCTGTTTTCCTGTTCCGCTGCTCAAGCTGAAAACAATGCCTGGAGCACATGAATAATGAAACGGTTTCCTTGTGGGAACAATCTTCCCTCTCAGGGTGCGAAAGCACAGGCTGGAAAATGATGAATTGCTTCTCATCTCACGTTATTAAAAAAACAATAAAAAGGATAACACAGACAATTCAACTGAAGCTCCCACCCCGTTACAATTATACAACTCTATGCAAGATACATTTTTTTAAATACACATGCTATTATATGCATGTATATATATATATGCTATTTAAAGGAGGATACTCCCCAAGGAAGTCCACGAAAAGGACACTTGAATCCTCTTAGTTTCAATGGGAATCGAAGGTGCAGGTATCCGTAAAAGCTTCTGTCAAGGGTGGTTACCATCATGAACGGCAGGTTGCCTTGCCTCAGGGTAGTGATGGCTTGCATCCAGCAGTGCCCAAAGTTAATTCTTTACATATGGGGGGTTACCTTCAATGTGGGTTTAATTTTTCATCTAAAGCATTCAATTATCAATCAATTACATATACCGCTCAGGATCTTTCATTAAAAGACAATGCATTCTGGTATGTTTTTTTTAATCACATTGCTCTCATTTTCCAGGTCTAATACACTGGTCCGAACAAACTAAGTATCTCACTGTCAGGTACACTTGGGTTAAAAGGTGGCATTTGGGGTCGAAAACTTTGATGAACCAGAGCGTTTGCGTTTCCCCCTGGAGGATTAAAACAGCTCTGACAGCAGCTGACAGCTGTAGAGATCATACTTAATGAGGTCACACTGCTGCCTTCCCATGCAGTAACTGCTGCCCCCGAGAGAGAGGCAGAGATAGAGACACAGAGACTCTGTCAGATAGAGAGTGAGAGGCAGAGAAAACACAAAAACAACCAGAGTAACACAGATCAACAGAGAAAGGAGGACGGGGAGCGAGATAGAGGACCTTGTCACATTCAGACCCCACAGTAGCTTGATGCAGTTCAGGTTTTCAGAGCTGACTACCTATTAAAGGCTTCTATTAAAAGAAATGAAGAAGTTTTTTTTTTAAAGGACACCTGTCACTTTTTGCAAATATATTCTTGATAAGGTAACAGCCAAACTGTTGTGCTGGAGGTCTAGTTCCCTCTGGGCACTGTCACTGAACAGATGTTGCTCAAAGCTGGAGAGGAGCCCGGTTTACCTGCTCCTGCCTCTTAGCTCTTCTGAGGGCATCAGTCTGAACATCACACCTGCATCAATAAGTCTGAGGAATAGAAATCCATAATGCAGCACATCCTGATGAAGCACTTTTGCATCATGGCCATGCAATGTATTCTAACATTTACTGTTATCATGTAACATTATTTTTGAATGATTAGAGTCTAACAGTGATGCAGTAACAATTCTTGCACAAGCTACAGATTAATTAAGATAATACTTTATTATATGTTTGAACGTCTTGGCACTTCCCTGGTAGATCTAGTAAGTGAACACCAGAAGAACCAGCTATTTCTGAAAGAGAAACCCTGGTTAGATTTACCTGCGGAGATAAGTTTGGAAAGAGTGCAGAACGAGTATTTGGCCAAATAAAACACAATTAAAAAGGACCAAATAAAAAAGATAAGACACATAAGTTAGTTCAATAAAGTGGAAACTATTTAGAAAACGCAGAAAAGTGTCTGGTAATGGAATGTGAATATTTAAGACTCTGTTACCTCAAAGCTGTGCACGGCCCTGCAGGTCACATGGAGGAGGGAACTGAAGGCTGCGAGACAGATGTGGTCAAGCTCTGGGTTTGGAATAGCCTGACAACCGAGCTACTTCTTTACAAAAGTCCATGTTTAAGTTCTATATAGCCTTGTCTTCTGCCTCATGCCCTACATAGGTTGCCTGGATGGCAATGCACTTAGTCTGAAAGAACACTGGATGATGCAAATCAAATGAGTCACACAGTCTGGGCTGTCTCTGCTTCACATCTAGTTCCCTCAGCTGTTCTCTATAGTGACTGCATCTTAGCAGTATGCTTACTTATCGATTCAAAATGGGCAATCGATTTAATTGGGGTGGAAGAACAAATGTCAGTTCATTGAAGTATAAGATTAATTACCAGCTTTGTTGATTATTTTCATGATTGGCTGAAATGGAAACCTGACTTTCTTCAGCACGTGCTTATTATCTCCCAAGAGAAAAAAAAACATCCAAAAAATGTTTATCATCATAAAAACCTTGAACATCAGAATTAATCTGCACAATGCTGCTTGGAAACCTGGAACAGCCACTTCAGCTCATCCCCACGTCACAGGGGAGCCCAGAGTTCCTATCAGTCTCCAGACCTCCACTCCTAATGGAGGAATGTGCTGAAGGAACTGGGGGGCAATGATTATTTTTCTAGAATTAAATCCTTGGACAATTTCAAGGGTGCATCATAGCTTAACCGGTGAGAGGGGGGGGGAATAGTCACTTACAAAATGACACAAAAGTTATTGATGCTATAATCCTCCCCACTCACAGCTCTAAGTCTTCCTCAGCTACTGTTGTAAATGAAGGATACTATGCCAGAGCATCCTCTTTCTGATTCTCGTCATGATGGAACCAGATGTCCTAACCAGCGAATATCTTGAAGAAACAATGGTCATTACACATCTAATGGACCTGAAACACTATTAAATCTGAAACTGCTTTGGGACATCTGGAATGAGGATCACCAGAAAGCATCTAAAAAGTAGTCCAAAAACTGTGAAGACACGCAATAAAATCATCCTGCAAAGAGCAACGCCTCATCTCCACTGCAGACACAGCTGGGCTCGGGTTCCAAGGCCTTGCCCAGCCCATTTAAAAAACGTTCTTGTCCAGTGGCGTCATGATGCAGAAGCTAAGGGACGGTACTGTGGCACTTTTTAAAGAAAGACATAGTAGAAATAAATGCAGGAAAAAGCACCCTTGACAACAGGTGCTAAAAAAATGTGGAGAAAAACATTGCTAGTTTTCTTTCATGGTTTTAGTGTGGTAAACACTGCAGGATACTACAACTATTTTGCATCCTAGACATCCTAGGACCTCACATGGGCACTCAACACCTCCAGTCTCATCGAGAAGGCACAACAGAGGCTGTACTTTCTGAGAAGGCTGAAGAAAATCCACGGATCCTCACCAACTTCTACAGACGGACGGTGGAGAGCATACTGACCAGCTGCATCACAGTCTGGTACAGCAACTGCACCATATCCGACCGTAAGGCACTGCAGCGGGTTGTCAAAACTGCCCAACACATCATCGGCAGTGCCTTACCATTCATCCAGGAAATCTACAACACCAGGTGTCTGAAAAAAGCCACCAAAATTATGACTGACCCCACTCACCCCAGTCACAACTTGTTTGTCCCCCTACCATCTGGTAGAAGGTTCCGGACGCTACAGTCGTACTCAACAAGACTCCGAAACAGCTTCTTCCCCAGAGCAAGCTGGTGACCCTCCCCACTCCCACCCTCCAAATTATGATCTCTCCTCACTTTTTCCTGCACCCACAACTACTGTACTCCTACACCACTACATACACCATACCTCTGCCATACTTGAACTTAAAACTGTACTTGATTGTACTTGTAATAATTGATAATTGCTGTGTTATTTTGCTCTGTTTGTGTACTAATGTTACAGATTTGATGGGGAGAGTACTTTCACAGTTTTTAATACAAAATATAAAATTAAATCAAATGAATATGAACAGTGACTTTAATATAAATGCAACCAAAACACCAATCCCAGTGGCTATAGCAACAAAATGGCCTCCTTTCACAACACACAGACCATTGGATCTGTTTTTTGTACCTACTTGCCTTTTCAAAACAGATTCACTAATCAAATCTGACTCTTTATATAACTTTGTAATGAAAAGCATTCAGTGGAAGCAACAAGAACCTTCTTCCTCTGCCTTAAAAAGGATATCTGTTTTTCCCGTGTGGTGGCTTCACATCTAGATTTTTGGAAGCTCTTGGTACTAAAAAATGTGTGAAACTGTTAAATCAATCAATTTTACCAGAGTATGTGGTAAAACTGCACATCCAGCTTTGAATAACTTTATTGACAAGTGAATCAAATATCCTATTTCTGTGCATCATGACTAAAATGTCTAAAAGTAACTGAATCCGAGCATCAGTAATACATTCTGCCTGCATGCAGCTCTGTAGACACAAGGAAAAAATGTAATTCACATCGAGTGCTTGTGGACGAAGCTATAAGAATAGAGCACACTGTTACACTGTTTTTAGCTGTCTGTATTAGATAAAGTGCAACTCCTAATATTCACCAGTGCTTGTCTTAAAATGAGCACAAAATGTATTCTAAATGCATTTCAGAGTGACACTATGACATTTGATTTAATACTGAATCATGCACACTGTAAAATATAAGGCAATTTTAGATATGAAGTACAAAGAGCTGTAGTTAAACATGGATGTGAACAACATTTTGAAGAATCAATGTTCCAAATCAAAAACAAAACAGATTGAAAGGGAATCAACCCCATTTAGAAAGAAAACAATTATTTCCTTCTCCGCTTCAAAGTTTAATTTAATTTAGTTTTTAAAAAGTGTGTTCGATTTAACATTTAAAAGCTGGAAGGTCCTTAACACAAGCAACGTGTTACAGTCTGACTGTGACACTTCTCCCTCATAAGCTGATATTAGAATTTCATAAAAATAAAGAATGGATTTTCTTCTTGAGCCCAAGTAAAATATTCCACATAGACAGGCCAAAATAGTAATAAAATAAAATAAAAAGTGCATACTGACTTATTGAAACCAAGATTAAAACTAATTTAGACATTAAAAGCTTTAGTGAAAAAAATAGGTCTTTAAGCGAGTTTGAGGACGTCTATGGCACCAGTCTCAACAGAGCTGGTGCTGACGGGCTCCAGCTCTGCCATCCTTGTCTGGTCACACCTGTCTCCCAGGCTCAGTGCTACTTTCCTCATGGCCAGAAGTGACAGACAGCTGCTCACTTCAAACCAGTCTTGGGGGAAGTTTCAGTTTTCTTGGAATCAGAAGAGGAGCTGGAGCCATTAATAAGGACTGGAAACTGGGACTGCTAATTGTAAGCTGTTTCAAACAAGGCTGTCTGGAGCACTTGTCCAGCACCAGGCTAAAATAAGAAACTGAGAGAGTAAGCGGAACTGGGATATGCTGGCTGTTCGAGCACCAGGCAGGACTGACAGGCGGCATGACACACCTTGCCTGGCAGACAACTGTCAGAGCGCGTTAGCAGTGCTGAGCGAAGCAAACACAAAAACAAAGACAAGATGAAAAAGGAGCAAACACCCACAGCCAGATCAATCATCTGGCTGCTGAGCCATGACTTTGGAGACCCACTGTCCTCCCACAGCCCTTTACCTTCAAACCACGGCATTCACTGGCTACTGAGCTGCTCTGGAGAAAGCCTGGACACACTGAACACAGCTCCTACACCCTCTCTCTGCCCCCATATCAGATGCTTAGGTGTAGCCACCAGGCTAACATCAGGTTACAGAAAAACCCCAAGACCCGAGCTGCCCCCTTGGCAACACAGAGTCACAGGTCCAAACAGCACGACCTCTCAGGTACTCACCACCTCCAGGTCGCCCTCTGCTGGCAGCTTCCTGCTGTCCGAGGACCCGCTGCCCGTGCCACTCTGGCTGTTCGCCTCCTTCTCCTTCTGCTCGAAGTACTCCAGGAAGGACGGCTTGGCTGACTGCACAGTCTCATCTCTCCCTGCGGAAGGAACAGGAAAGGAAGATTTGTTTTACTCCCTGCGCTTGCGTCAATGATACTCCTTACATTACAAATGTGATGGCTGGAGGGTGCTTGATTGTTATAAATTTTGAAATGTTACAGGCTTTGCAACTGGGAAACCATAAATAAGGAGTAAAAGAAGCCACAGGGAATATTGTCTGTGTTGTGGCTGCTTGAGGACACTCAATACAGTTATGGGTACTTTCAACACCAAGGGCCTCCAGGCCTTCCTTCTATTTTAGGCTCAGACCTTTCAGGACCAGTCTCTGCTTGGCGCTCATACAGCACAAATAAATTTCAAATTAAAATTTACCCGAAGTTTTTGGCATCCGTTTAAAATGCTAGTGTGGCACCCGTGGGCCAGGTGCAGTCTTATTTATTTGTCATCCTGCTTGAGCGCCCCATCCCCCTTCTATTCAATTTAGTTAAAAAGGTCTTCGCTAAAGAAATGTGACTGTGGGGCAGGGTGAGGAGCAGGAGCAAAATGTGTTACATATTCCTCGGTATATTTGGATTTATGAATGTTGCGCCTAACGGGTAATAAATTGGTACAAGAAACTCAATGCCTGTGAAAAAAAGCACTGTAACACTAACTGTTCAATTTCACACTCCTGTGAGCAGAGGTCAGAAGTTAATAAATACTGCTCCTGAAATAGCAGGAAAGACACAACGCCAATCTATTGACTTCAGGCTGAGACTAAAATACACAGCAACAGAAGGGGTAGCTGCCAAACCCTCAGCAAAGGCTTTGTTTGTCCTGCCTTCACAGTTTAGAGCGATCCCCTTCACCTGTGACTGGCACTAATTCAAGGTTTTATAAAGATCCTGGAAGAGCCATGGTGTGTCCTGAGTCACAGACTGGGGAAGAGATGAAAATTACAGAGCAGCAGACCCCCTAATGGGAGACGAGCACCCTCTCGAACGGCACCGTTAATCTCCCGAGCACTTCTGCTCGATAGCTGCTCTCGGGGTCAGAGCAGTGAAGCGTAGCTTATGTCGGAGGGAGCTGCTCAGTCCGGACCGCCCAACACAGGACAGTGGAGTGACTGAATTCCATTCCCTGCCGTCCACACATCCCTCAGCCACTTGACCACTGGGTAGACTACGCTTACAAAGGCAGTGAACAGTGTACGGACAGATTTCCAGTGATTATACCATGAACACGCCTTGACTTGCCAGGAAAGTGAGAAAGCAGATGAACTAAAGCTATTTGTCTCTACTTCAGCAGAACTGCAATACCACTATTTTAACTGCATCAAATACAGACCATATTCTGTGTCCAAAAGACTGCCACTTGCACGGCAAGTTTCACGTACATTTTGCAGTATACATCTGACAGAGCAATTTCCCTGTACCTAACTTCACTATGCTCTGCTCGTATAACAGTGCACCACACGTCTGCTGTAACAATAGCAGAGACTCGAGTGAAGATGAAACTGCATGTCCCGGACACAGCACTGCAGCGGGAGAGAGAGGACGCCTTGCCTGGGCATCACCTGGGACTGAGCCGCTGCACAGAGCAATACATAATTAAAACTGTTATGTTAAATGTTTCCTCCTCCTTCCCACTTAAAAAGGGCCAAATGTATCCCAAAGGGATGTTTAAAGAGAAAAGGCCTCCAGGATAGATGTACACAAAGCCACAGCTTTAGACAACGCCAGAGAGGTCATGTCATCTAAATAACTACAGGCAGAGTTTCTCCAAGGTACAACCCCATCACAGTCATCATCACAGCCATTTGAGGGCTTTATAATTACTGCAAACACAAAACTTTACCCATTACAAATTGCATGTTTTTTTAATTCTTACAAAGCACTTTTTCCTCTTAAGTTTTAAATAGATCACAGTGCAATCAGAAAAGAATAAAGTCTTACTTATTTATAATCTTTAGTTACAGAATCAACACATGCTCTCTTTCTTATGATTAATTCATAAGACTTTAAATTATTAAGCCATTTCAATCCAATTCAGATTAAAAAAAAACAATTGCATGTTTCATACAGGGGAAAAAATAAATCACCACATTATGCAAATCTATAACAAGGGGCTCAGTGCACTCGGCAGGCTTTTATTCTGTGACAAAGGTAATCATTCTTAAGATTACAAAGACAGGAAGCTGTGATGAAATGATCCCCGTCTATATTAATAACAATCTGCCACCTGTCACTGCAGCCTGATAAATGAGACTGTGCACGTACTGTATATCAGTCGCCACTCCCAGTTGCATACTTGTGAAAGGACTTCGGGAACAATCTCTGCAAAGCCCTGTCTTTCAGCAAGAGGCTGGCGAGGAGACGAATTACTCCCTCTACACTGCCTTGTCCTCACAGGACACTCTTTACAGTCCAGGCCTATCTTCTGTACAGCTCTGCCAGGCCAGGGAGGTGGACTGGCTTCCCACAGTACAGTATATGTATGCGAGGTGTTTCCCATACCAGGGCGGGGCAATTCCACTTCATATGTTACTCCACTTTTTCTGTTTCAACAGTCCACTAGTCTATTGATCATTACATGATGACTATAAGCACCTTCATGACAGCCGGGAGACTAAAATACATATTGATAGGTAACAACAAGATTAAAAACTCTGACACAACGAGGGACTCAGAGGCTGATCCTCAGACACACCCACGCCCTGTCCAGGACAGACACAACACAGTTCGGTTAAAACGAAGGCCTTGCAAACTGGGAGCATGTTCATTCTTTTCAGTTTTCCCCTGGGAATGGACTCAAGTCCGTGCGCGAGTCTAGCAGCAGCACACGCCTGCACGAAGATGCCAGATCTGTTGCTTGCAGCTGGCAGGGTAGTGCAGAATGCGATACCCAGCCAGCAGACCCTGTGTCACTGCAACCCATTGAAACACCACTATCGCAGTCCTGCCGTCTCAGACATCAGCCGGAGGCCGGAGATACTGAAGCGCAAAGCAGGGAAGAAGAGAGCAGTGCCAACATTAATAATTCACCGACTCCGCAGTGCAGCCCAGGGCAAGGCCTCTCAAAACTTTCTTCCATGACTTTTCGGTTTTCATGGACAATTAAATGAACTAAAAGAACAGCAGCGGAAAGAGAGACCTACTCGGGTGAGAGGTGCGCTAAAGGAAACGCTATTTCAATTATTTAAAAACCCCTAACAAAATGTTTTAAAAGCGGTTGTGGAGTGATCCCACTGGCCCAGAAGGCACACTGCAGACTGCGGAAATAAATCCGAGAAGTTAAATAAATTCTCCCCGAGGTCAGCAGAATAAAAAGCTACTGTATCGGTCTTTTAATAATCACAGGTAATCTCCACTGTGGCCAGTGAGCTGGAACTCTGTGCAATTGCTGTCCTTCCCTGGAGCGCCAGCATGACACTTAGAGGAGCATTTTCAAGACACAATCCTGTCCAAGCACCCTCCATCTCAAATTGTGCTCAGCTTCTTTGTTTACTCTATAAAATCTTTTTCCTCATCCTGGGAAGAAACGTTTTCCATGTAGTTTAAGCTTTTATCTCTCGAATATGGATGAATGCGACAGATGAGTCTGGACTATCCTAGAAGTTCAGAGCTGTCTGGGTTTTATTCTGTCAAGACAGGCGGAGAGATATCTATTAATTGTCTGATTAGCTCAAGCAATAGATCATCACAGCTGTTATACAGCTGCTTGCAATATGAAGGAGGAAGATTTACACAACAGCCTGTACCAGGGGTAATTTACACTGATATAGCATCACAAAAATTAGCAGACAAATGTCTATAAGCAGAGAGGGCATTTTTGCAAGGGGTGTTGAGAAGAAAGGCCTTCTGGGCAGTGAGCAGTGCTGCGCAAGGCGAGATAAACACCATCAGTAATGATATGCCAGACAGGAGGCCAGGCACAGGGTGAAAATCACCTCTACACAGTTCTTACCAGCCAACACTGCTTATTTCTCAAATGCCACTGTCCTCACTTGTAGAGTTTTGTTTAAAGCTCAAGTCCCCTTCTCTTGCTGGTATACATGCCAATCCTCTTGTGATCAATACAAGTATGTAAATATGTAAAAATCACCTACAGGATTGAGTATACATGAAGGTCTTCATCAAGGAGAAGAGAATGCAGACCGCACATCCAAGCAGCATCAGAGTTTTTGCTTGTTATTTGCTTCAAGCAATAGAGACCAGCTTCATCGCCTTGTGCTCAAGTGGGTTTTTGCAAAGCAACCTCCAGTCTCCCACAGGCAAGCAGATAAGGTCTGATGGGTAATTCTCACGTTCCTCCAAGAGAGCCTGGTTCTTTCCTTACTAAACGCTGCCATCTCCCCAACACGGATGGCCCATGATAGAAGCAGCAGCAGAGTGGAACATGTTGTGTCCTTCAGAACAGATTATTTAGTCAATGCTTAATGTCAGATACGAAAAACCTTTTTCTAGTTTTAACTGCTCACGCTGCTCAGAGGACAGTAAAGTCAAGATGAAAAGAGACTTCACCTTTTTCACACACTGAGGTTTCTGTGCAAACCTGCCAAGAGTTTGTCATCCCCAATCATAGCCATAACACTCACCTGAACATGAGAACATAAGCTAATTTGACAGCGACAACAAGTCCTCAAGATTAGCAAAGCCCAAATGAGTAAAACTGAATTTTTGAAGACTCCACTGTGTCAAAGTCAACAGCATGATTTGGCAACTCATATCACCCGCAATTACAAAACAGGAAACCTTCTCATACTGATAAATGCGACCATTCAGAGCATGAATACGACAGTGAGCCCTGTTCCTTGCTACATGCACATAGAAGACACGCAGACAAACACGCTACAGGCAACTAGATGAAGAGACTCAACCTGCAGAGAGGCACTGCCACAAGACTCACATTCTGGATCAGTCTACCTAGTTGAAGTCAGTACGTGTTGTGTTGGGTCATCTCAGACAAATCTGTCTGTCAAAGAGGAGAGGACCATGCTGTAGTGCTGAGTGGCAGCATGTTTCTGCAGCACTGGAAAGCACAACATTACGCACCCAAGGACAGACTCTACCTGGCAGCAGCACAGAGCTCCTGTCCGCTGGGGCTGAGAGGGCACTTGCTATGGCCTGCTGCAGTGATGTGCGAACTACTGAGCCCCACGGGGAACCGAGGCAGAACCGAAATCACACCCAGCAGAGATCTCCACTGCTGTCAGTCTGGACAGTGAAAAACTAAAGCAAAAGCATCTGCTAATTTCACTGCTTAACGACATTACCACAGCTTCCTGGCAGCAAGATGACACAGACGTTTAATTTCAAGAGCACCATTAGCAAAAATCAATGATTTAAGATAGTGAGAGCCCCCACAGGAAGAATACTTAGTTAAAGGTAAATGCCGAAGATTAGAATTAGAATCTAATTTGTGGACAATTTTATTTTCCTCACGTCACTTGACCTATACAAATCAAATAAATGTTTTCCATTGAAGGCTCGACAGGACCAGCGTGCTGTGAGCCTGTCGGACTGACCAGACTCCAGGGACTCACCTGGCAGTGGCTGCTCTTCTGCGCTTGATGTCCTATTTGACCAAGTGCAGTGCCCTCCAGAGGTACTGGGTCTCAGAAGTCGAAACGGCTAGTTTTGCTGTATACTCAAGCAATTCGGATTTGAGATGAAAGGATGAATGCAAGACAAAAGTACAGAATGTTAACTTTTATTTCTGGGTATTTCTGTTTATATATGTTGTACTATATGTTGTATAGGAATTGGGGCAACTGACTGTCAGGTGTTTCCTGGTGCACTGATTGTGCACAAATAAATGAGCTGTGAGTGTTTGGTGCTGAATTTGGCCTTTTATGAGGCCTAAGCCACTATAAAGACTGGAGAACTGTCTAAGAAAGAAAAGCAAGCAATTTGGATTGTTGTGTGCAAAACATTTGCAAAGTAGTTTGAAGTTAATTTGTCCCATGCTCTCCTAAAATGGGGGAATTAAACACAAAAAGTGGTTTTATTCCAAAATATTAAAGCATACATGTGCAGAAATACTCAGAAATAAAAGGTGACATTTCTATACTTTTGCCTTACATTCCTTTCATCTCAAATGAGACAGCAACAATAGCCATTTTGCCAATGCACAATGTAAATCATATTGCTATCAGTGGTTCACAATGAACTATATGAAACATCCGTCCTGTGTTGCTGTTCCTGGGTGTCTATACCATATATAAATTATTTTAAATTATTATTGCTACTATATAAATGCATTGCCCTAAAAAGTGAAGTGTGTCCCCGGGAAGGCAGACAGTAAAAGCTTTGTTAATCCTTATCTGTACAAAATCCCAACCCATGTCCTGGCTCATGAAACCAAACCTGATGATTAATTAATAATTCTGGGGATGATGCCCCGGAGTAGACTGCTCTCTCTCCGCTCTGTCACAATCTTTATTTTCTAAACCTGCCACTGCAGCACTTGTGAAGTACAAATTCACCCAATATGTACTGCGCAAGTAAAATGTATTAATATCCCTCTAGTATTTTATTCTTGTCCATTAGTATTTATTTAAAAAATTTTCATCTAGTGTAAAAGTCTACATTGGGAAGAAGAGTAGAACAGAAACTTTGATGATCAACTCAATCAATGTAAATATAGACATTTATCAAAAAATAAAATCCTAAGAACTTGACTGTCCTATTGTGCTCTAGTTTTCACCTCAATAATTGACTTTGCATGTGCAGCTGAAACATCAAAACCTTTTCATCTTCCAAGTAACTGCAGGCCCGCAGTTGGTGCTCACAGCAGTGCTCTGGGCACTGGGGGTACTTTCAGTGTGCTGCTCTGAGGACACCTTGTGGACGACATTGGGAAAGCGCCATCCTGGAGAACTGGAGGCAGTCAACCACCATTTAAAACATAGTAGAGCAGATTTTAAATCACTTATTGATTCCATGTCAGACAAAACACTAAACTATTAAAGCTTTACAGGTGTTGGCCAATAGTAATTTCAAAACTCTGGGTGTATCCTCCTCATGGATCATCAATCAATTGATCTTTTTCCAACTCGTTTAAAATATCAGCAAGTTACTAACTCCTCAAATGTGAAAGTAGCAAACAAAAAACCCAAACTTATCCCAAGAGCATAAGATATTTTTTAAATAAAATCACTGAAATAATAGCACTTAAAAGCTGCTAAAGAAGGACAAGCGCAAACATGATCAAGGAGTCCCCACTCTCAGACCCAGAGCACTTCACCAGTACAAGGTGCTACAGGTGAGTGACTGAGCTGGGCAGCTATACTGAAGTTGCACCTGTTAAAATTTTGAAACTCTTTTTTCTTGTTTTAATCAAGAACCAGGAAACAAACAGACCTGGTGTTTAAAGTTGCCACTAAATCAGTACCAAACAGGTGATAATATTAAACAAACAAGACCGATATCATTGCTTAATGGTCACAGCATGGAGAGAACAATTACTGACCACCAGCGAGTTGGCTGTATGTGAAACCTTCCTCTTAACGAAAGAGTACCTCTATCACAGCATGCATGAGTAACGAAAGCATAAACATTTTTCACTGATGTTATGCAGTTATCTCAAGCTGTTTCAATTAAGGAGAGCTTAAGAAAAGAGGCTGCTTAATTAATTCCTAGTGCAGAGTCAGAGGTGGCTCAAACACAGCACCTGCAGATCTGTGGCAGGTGGAAGCTACTAAAAGCCCCGAGCCCTGCTGGGAAATCCCAGGTACAACCCGCATGCCAGAAGCTGCTCTTACGCTTCATGGTGCCGGCATCTTCCTCCTCGTCTTCAGTGTTGATGACCATGGTGCCGAGCTGCGACCCCAGCGTGCCGTCACACTCAACCATCGTGCGCGAGGCGTTGCCCAGCGCTCCGGCAGCACGGATCGTGCCCGAATCGGAGGCGTTGGCGCGCACCATGGTCCCCGAGTCCACATCCTCATCGTCCTGCCGGCAGAGAAACAGGCACTGCTCACACAGCCTCCCTTCGACTCCCACGCCCCACCCTGTGCTTCTGTGTTTATTTTCTTAAAGTCAGCAAAGAGCTTCATTCACGAGGACGTGATTGATCTGAAGTTAAGCAATGAATCTTAAGCAAATCGAATAAAAAGTGTGTGAACAACAGAAGTTTGAACAGCAAAAAATTTGAACCGACTCAGCTCACTTTTATTTTGAAAAGCCAAATTAGTTCTCAGACACATCTTAATGAGTGCTGTTTCTGTCCTGTACTCTTCTCATAACTGTAATCTACTGCTCAAATAATCTTGCATTGCATGTCTAGCAAACCGATTTTAGCAGGGCACTCCGAGTCAAGTCTAGGCTTCGTGTGACATTGAGACACTGATGGTGACGATGCTCACCGAGTTCTCATCATCCTCCTGGTCCTGCTCCCTCTGCAGGGCCTCCTGCCTTTTCAGCTTGACATCCATGGCCTCATTGATGAGGACGCGCAGGATGGAGTTGGGCTTGGCGTTTTTTATGAATGGGTGCTGGAGGAAACAGTGTTAGGAAAACTTTGAGCTCAAGGCTGGTAACCCGGAAACATACATTTTTGTAAATGTGCTTTAAACCAAGTGATTTTTTTTTTCTTATTGCTATTGTTATTGCTTCTATTCAGCTGAGGTTTGTCCTGAAGCAAACATCTGGAACCATTACCAAGGATAAACTACACACAGTACTGTGCAATAACAGTTTTCTGTAACAGCATTAGGGAATCTACTTCTGCCATGAAACAATAATGGGGCAGGACAGCTATTGCAACAATTCTCTCCAAATGGAGCACCAGCCACATAAAAATGGAAAATAAAAACATTCAGCTAAATGCAGAGGAAGGAGCTGCTGCCAGAGGTGGCCCCTGTGCCGTGTCAGGCGGGCTGGTCAGAGGATCAGGCCCAGAGTACCTGCAGCAGCTGCGTTGCAGTGGTTCTCTGCTCAGGGTTCTTCACCAGACACTGCTTCACGAAGTCCTGGAAGGGCTCCGACCACGCCTCCGGACTGCGGAAGGTGGGAGGGGGATTCGTTGGAATCATGAAAATCGCCTGCGAGGAGAAAAGCAGATGCGTCGGTCTGATGAACACGTTAAGATTGGTGGTATTTATACAGTGATGAACGCTCTTCATTCCAAAGCATGGCAAGGCCTCATCACTTATTGATCCTCCTGGGTGTCACACAGCTGCCAGTCTGCACCAGCAGCCACTCTGTACAGCAGATGAGGAGCATTGGGAGGAGAAGCAATAAATTATTTCACCAGATAAATTAAAGGGGAAATATTAGGGACATTAGCCAGGATGGTTTGGTTAACCCCCTGCTTTTACAGACTCTACTAAGGGACCTTCAATAACAAAGTATCCAGAAGCTCAACTTAAAATTTCATCTGACGGACGGCACCTCCTTCAACTCCGTGTCTGCTGTCACCATACTAGGGCACTGCACTGGAAATACTGGTCCAAGCTAAACAGAACCAATCAGGAACACATCTATATTAGGACAATGTTTCAATGACCTCTTTAAGGTGAGCTCTGGTGTTATAAGAGATATTATATTATTAGTTTCTAATTACAACATGGAACACCAGATGAATGCCAGTGCACATGGATGAACAGAACAGGGGCCAGATGCACGATGACCTACTCTCATAGGGTGGATGTCTGCATAGGGAGGCTTCCCTTCAGCCATCTCTATCGCGGTGATGCCCAGAGACCAGATGTCAGCCACACAGTTGTAGCCAATTTCCTGTATGACCTCAGGAGCCATCCAGAAGGGTGTCCCGATCACAGTGTTGCGCTTTGCCATGGTGTCCTAGCAGAGGAGAGGGGAGAGGGAGTCAGTGGCTGTGCAGGGGCAGCTCACTGCCATGTTCCACCAAGCTGCAGCCTCACAGTCCGCCTCCTGCAGGGCTAAAAGCTTTTCTGCGTTACAGCTGCCCTCAGGGAGTGTCCACCGTACCAAATGCTTCTTCAAAAACACTCATGAGGGACAAATGTGTTTTCACACAAGGTTAGACAGCACAGCAGAACAGGAACCCTGTTCAGCGAAAAACAAAACCTCTTTTACTTGTCAAATCCTGAACTACACTCCCTCAGTTTCAGACAGAGGAGTCAGGCTCTTTATTTCTCCAGGGTGCAAAAAAGTTGATTTGTGAAGAAGAAATGCTCTTCTCACACCAATGTTTTCCCCACATTTTCTCTCTGCAAAGATAACTTTAAAGAAATGAAACTGCATTTTGGGCTGTCAGTGGGGTGTGAAGTGGGTGTTTAGGAATTTCAGCAGCATTAACCGAACACACAGGAGCCCTGGGTGTCAGTGTACTCCTGGAACGAGTCCGGAGGTGCGACAGGCCGTACCGTCAGTTGTCCTGCCACACCAAAGTCTGCGAGCTTGGCCTGTCCTTCTGAGTTCAGCAGGATGTTTCCAGCCTTGATGTCTCTGTGGATCTTCCTCATGAAGTGCAGGTACTCCAGCCCCTTCAGAGTGGACTGCAGGATGGTGGCAATCTCATCTTCCGTTAACTGAGAGAAGGACAAGATAGAGGGCACGCATGAGAAAAGGGTAGTTTTTATATTCACATTCAGCACAGGGCTGGGGTCATAACTCATTTTCATCGGAAGGTATTAAAGGAATAAAGCAAAATAAAGCAACTAACCGTCTTATTTCTCAGACGAATGATGTCTGAGACAGAACCAGCCCCACAGTACTCCATCACGATCCACAGATCGCTGTTCTTGAAGTAACTTCCATAGTATCTCACCACATGTGGACTGCAAATACAAGAGACTTCCTTTTAGGGGAATGAATTCTGATTTACAGGCATTCAGTCATAATCCCACAGACAGTGACTTTGCACTGTTGCCAAGACATTGCCATTTAGACAAGAAAAACAATCACATCATATCTATCTAAAGAAATTTTAGAATTTTGTATCTAAAAAAAGAGAATGAAAACAGGTGAAAGGAAAAACATATTCTGGTATAAATTCACAAACCCCCTTACAATCCTCCACATACCACTGTAGGAGACACTGGGTGGTGATGGACAAAAAAAAGGTGAAATGGTACTTTTGTGCTAATAATAACCACAACAATTAATAACACGTTTTCAGCAACTGAGTTACAAAAAGCCACAAAAACAAAATCGACCTTGTGATTAGAATGCAACTGCTGAATGTGCTTGCTGTGCTTTGGGGGGAAACTAGACATTACTTACCTGTTGCACTGCTGCATTATAGAGATCTCCTTAATGATTTCCTGAAGGTCTGACTCCACAGGAACCTGCTTGATTGCCACAATCTCCCCGGTTTCTTTATAGTTAGCTTTGAACACGCTGCCATAGGACCTGGCCAACAGGAGAGAGAGGGGAAGTCAGACAGTCAGAACCCTGCTTTGCTCAGAAAGGCATCTACTTCCATTATTTAAAGGCTTCTTTCTGGAATGTTTTTCATAAGCAGCATCTCACTGTGCTTTAATTTCCCATTCTTCCTTGGACCTATTTTCCTGTGGTGCAGCTGACACCAGTGAGGGTTTTTTTTTTAATCACTCAGCTATTTCTACAAGTGAAGATGGGACATGTAGGGTTAATTCCATTATCTGTCCTAGAATAAGTGAGAATCTCTGCTGGTTTCCCCATGGATTCATGTGTCTGCTCCACTGTGCTCTGCAGCTCACAGGAACTCCCACCTCACAGCCACTTCATACACAATACAAATATTTTTTACACACTGGCAAGGAGTCTTTTAAAAACTTTTAAAAACGCCTTTAATCTGAATCATCTCTGTAGACATTGAAGAGACTAAGATCTTTCACTCATTTCTAAGTAGGTCACAAATCTCCTTTAATGAGGAATGAACCGCATTTCCCTAGAACAGCAGGTCCTCAACCTTCTCTTTCTTTGTCTTGTTTCTTGTAAAGTGACAGCTGGCGCGCAGCCAGAGTGGCGTGAGGTGGGCGTTTCCGACTCGCAGGGGAGATGCCGTCTGCAGGCAGCACGGTGCCGGAAGCCGAGAGCATGTTAAGAAACAGGAAGGACACAGCACTGCTGAACCTGAGCGGAAGAGATGGCGTGTGGCAGGCCTACTGCCTGGGGCCCCTCCTCTCTCAGTGTACAGAAATAGATGACTCTAAAGAGCAGAGTGAGGCAACTTCCACTGCACAGGCAGCAGGTGGCCTCCACACTGAATACACTGCAGTGGAGCCTGAACCCTCAGTACAGCACAGAGTAGACCTCAACACTCCCTGTACATTGCAGAGGCCCAGTTTGCAGACAGGCAGTGAGCAAGAGGCCGTCTGGGCAGTGGAAATCAGAGATGTGGAAAACAGAGATTGGATGATGTGCATTTATAAAAAAAAAAAATACAAATACACATTGTAGAAAAATACCTTAGTTTCCTAAACCAGGTTTCATCAGCAGAATTAACGACAGATTGGTCACAGTTGGAAGAGGCACCCAGTGTGGAAAACTTAGAATGCTAAATAAACTACACTCTATAGGCTGGACTGCTCTGCCTTACAACTGCTTTCTCTCACCTGTGGTCGCACCAGAAAAAGAATCAAAGAAAACTGCACTCAGAACCTCAGTCTCGCACAGTCTGCAGGGCCTGACACAGACACTCAGCAGAAGGCCACCCTTTATGCCAAGGGGGTGGAGATCTTGTGTGAAAAGGGGGTAACAGGGCTGGATACCAGTAAACAGCCACATGGTGCTTACCCCTCTCCCAGCTTCTCCAGGATGTCAAACACTTCCTCTGGCTGTTTGGTTAAACTGTCTTCACTCAGCCTCTTGAACTGCCTGCAGAGGAAAGAGTCAGAGAGCTGTGGGGGTGCCTTTTTTCAGGAATCCCCACAGCTTACACACAAACTAATAGCATTAAATATAACTGGCATATACAAAACAAAATCATTTAGCTGATGCCAGGCCCAAGGCAACATACAGTACAATGAACAAACAATGAAAAGACAATATGCTAAAAATACATCATGCAGAGACATTTATACAGAATACTGGTTAATGCAGCAGAACTCAAGAAGATACAATAATGTACAATAATCTCTACTACAGTATGTAGTGACACAAAAGCAATACAGCACAAGGTACAAAAAAGACAGGGAAGAGCAATGGGCTCTGGCATTGCTGGTGTGAGAGAAGGTCCCACCTTTTCAGTTTTCAAGGTTTCATAGTTTATGTGAGGATTATAGTAATCTCTTTTTTAAGTAGTGATTAAAAGGACCATTTGTCTTTTTCCCCCCATGGGCTTCCCTCACACGTAGTCCTTTGAAATCTTTCTATTCATCTGCTATGGTGCACAGCTCTTTTCCACCTGCATTTGCTTTAACTCAATTGTTGGGTTGCTTCTGCTTTTGATGACAAAGTTTCCTTCAAAGTGATCAGTTATCTTTACAGCATTTCAAGCTGTGTTGCGTTTAAACATATGCTCGTCCTACCAACTCAAAGGGGTTACAAAGCTTAATATTAAGCAAACAGAGCTGACCGAATACAGCAATGCAGCTGCCAATCAATGAGTTTGGAAGATCAACAACAGCGATCTGAGATGAGTGTAATTATTTGACTACTCTACTGCAGGCCTTCAGCTGGGTGGCACCATCTTAGCATCTCAAGAAACCAGGTTTGCTCTGTTCTGTTCATGCCCTCTCTCCTTGCGTGCCAACACACAGGCAGATTACAGTGTCGCCCGCTACAGTGCGACTAGATCTCCAGCAGCTATCATGCGACTGTAAACTGTACTCTTACAAATATACTGGAGGCAGCCTGTTAAGAATTTCAAGAGAAAATGAGAAACCATTCCCTTCAGACCTTCAGCTGCCACACTCATTTCATTTTGTCACTCCTCGTGTTTTAGGGTGCTGATGACATAAAGGGATTTACAAAATCTACTGGATTGGAGAACCTAGATGACTGCATTTAGGGACCCCAGGACTAGAATTCATTGAACTCCTTTTTTGTGTCTTTCGCAGAACTGGAAATCTCCAGGGGGGGGGGGGAACAGACGAACGGTTAGTTCACCGGTGATGGGCATTTAAAAGAGCGAGTGAGTTAACTCTTCTTGTTGCTGGATTTAAATGGAAAGTCTCATTTCAGAACAGCCCAAAGCAGCTTTATCCCCTGTCTGTGATTACCCAGGGCAGTAACTTCCCCAGGTCTGTGAAACTTTCTGAGGCACAGCAGAGCATTCAACAGACACATTCAAGGCTCTACACTCTGTACAGAGCACCGCTGCCCGAGAACTCCCCAGGCACTGTTCTCGGAAAGCTGCGAGACAATCTCAATGGAAAGCCTTCATGGCAATCAAGGAAGCTGACGCTTCTGCTGGGGCTGGAGGGCCCTGATAGCACAAGGCCAACGGCTGCCCCCAGGATCCCTGCCACAGCACAGAGTGGGCAGGGCTGATAAGACAGGCTCATCCTCATTGCACAATGCGTGGAGGGGCCCAGCCCCTGGCGCAGACCACACCCCTGTGTCACCGATAAGGCAGAAGATGAGGGGAGAAGACAAGGCCGTCTCCTGCGGGAAAGGGCTATACTCCTGTCCTGTCCTGCAGACTGCTGGGACTCCGACAGCCTGGGGAGGGGTGGGAGCACAGGACAGCACAGCGCTGCGCTCTCCCCCCAAGGAGCTAGAGGACCCCAAGCACCTCAATGTCTGTCTCAGAGAAAACAAACATTTTGAAGTGGTTTATAGCATTTTCTCTTTCAGGTATTCAACAGCATTTAAAAACCCCCGGTTATATACTTTTTATACTTTTTTAAATCCCCTTTATGTATTTTGATCACTTCCTATCTTTGATCTCCCTGTCGAACCCCAGAGGCTGACTCAGCTCTGGCAGCCTTGCTGCAGCATGCAGAGAGCTGAGGTGGGGGGGGGGGAGAGACGAGGGGGAGAGCGTCCGGGAGCCGGAGCCCGTCGGCGCGTGCGGAGAATTCCAGTGCAGGCCTGCAAGCAGGGACTGGCCCGGGACAGCCAGCCACGCTCCCCGCCGCCCACAGGAGCCAGCAGCTCTCGGCACCCTCGTCAGAGCAGAGGCAGACAACGAGCATTTCCCAGTGCTGGTGATGGCAAGGGGCCTGCTTTCAGTCTCCACTTCCATAACCCTTAATCTGCCAGTGGGCCAAACAGAGCAGAGGTCTCCCAATTACTCCACTTAGCACGATTTATCCAAGGTGACCTTTCGGAAATTAGGGGATGACCTATACACAGTGCTTTTCACAGATCGGCAGCAACATAAGGCACCTGGTGGTCTGAGCATCTTTAACCAACTGAAGTCTCTGCAAAAGATTCCCGGGCAGCTCTTCAGCACAGCCAGAGCTCCTTTCCTTCTGTAATCAACATACTAAGAACCATGCAAACACACAAAGAGAGGCTTGTGCCACCAGATCGCAACAGATCGGACTGGGGGGCCTTGAGTTTGTCTTTCCCTGAAGCAGAACTTAAGAGAAACCGATTGGTTCCTAAACACACCGGACACCCCACTAAGCAAAAGGCATCCCACATCATTTCCTAATTTCCTCTTCAAGCACAACGACTCCAACCTCGAGACCGACGTGTCTCAACCACCCAGGAGAGCAGAGAAACTCTGGCATAAGTCAAAAGCCCTTCACATTAAAGAGGAAGCTACAAAAAATTCCTGCCCTGGTTTAAACCAGGAGTTTCAGAAACATTTCTCTCAAATCTGCGGCCGGTTCAATTTCACAACAGCGTAACACGCAGAGCTGGTCTGCACATCAACATCTTGAGTGAGATTACTGGTAATCTGTACTGTCTAAGCCATCACGGTCGTCCATTTCTTACTCAATTTACTCTGCTACTCATTCCTACAGCCATTTTTCTGTTATACAAAATGATGGAAAGACATACCCCAACTTTTAAAGACAGAACAGCAGAAAACTCCTTTAAAGCATTCCTGACCCCTCTCTAGTAAGATCTGGACACAAAGACAGACATGTTCTGTAGCTCCATGCAACAGCAACAGCAAAAGGTAACATTCCTTTTTTCTTCATTTAAATTTGAAGTCTGACAGAACACAAACGGTTAATTTACAGCAGGCACACGAACGGGAAGAACGTGTACAGCGATACATTTTCGCAGCAGAAGGACTACTTCTGCAATTCTAACACCAGGCTACTGCGACATCCCTCGACTGCCTGTGTCCCAGGCTTAAGGGCACAACCAGAATCTGGGGGACAATCTTCAGGTACAGTCAGTGCAGAGGAACCCTGGCTGCTTGTCACCGTGCCAGTGTTCCCAGAACACTCCTGCTGACTCCTGACACGATGCCAGCCATTAAAACAGAAACACCCAGGTCACGTACCATACAGTGGGGAGCCAAAGACCTGCAGGGCTACAGCTTGTGAGCACAGAGCGCACAGCTTTGCTCCCATCAAAACTGTTTATGTAGTATTGATACTGAAAGAGTCCAGGCTGATGGGGCTTTGTGTTATTTGAGATTGAGCCAGATGGAGCCAGTGTGCTTGTGCATGATTTCTGTTACAAACAGGTGGGTCTCTAGACTGTCTTACAGCAGGGCTCTCCAACCCTGGTTCTAGAGACCCCAGTCCAATCTGTATTCTGTCAATTTTACCTTGAAGGACAAAATTAAGAGAGTTTCCACAATAGAACAAGTTTTCTTTCAACTTTTGATCACTCAGTTTTTGGAATCAACTACTATACAGTACAACATAGTACATGTCTAATATACGTCTTACAGGCCACCTTAAATCTCACTTCTTTTAAAGGAATACACACAGATCATTGATCAATTAAGCAAGTAACGTGCTCAGCAAAGGGTATAGGAATCTGGCAGCATCTTTGGATGCTGATTGGTATTTTGATTTTTGTTTCCAATCATTTCTGAATTCATTTAACAATTCACTGGTTGAACTGATAAAAACGGGACCGGTGCAGATTATAGAAGGTGATGGCTGTCTAGGACCAGGGTTAGAGACTAGCTGAACTGCCTTCCAGCGAGACTCGAGGCTTCATCTGGTTTACTTCTGACAGCTCACTGCATTTCCTGCTTTAAAAAAAGTTTGTTGCGCTTCCGTGTTGGGGACAACACATGCCCTCATACCGCTAACAACAGTCAAATTCAGTCACGTCTCCTGCGCGGACCTCGGACTGAAACCGCACAGTTTTCACACACGAGTTTACACTTCAACCCGCTCCATCACACTCGGTGACAGACCGGTCCTATAAGGTACACAAACCAGAAGAAGACTCCAGCTGCTACGGATGTCAGTTTCCGTATTTCTGCCGAGACACAAGCGCAGCTGCTGTGACTAACGCACTTCCAGACAGGGGAGGCAAAGATGCCTTCGGCTGTTCTGAAACAAGACTTTTCGTCTAAATCCAGCAACAACACGAGTTAATCGCTCTTTTAAATGCCCATCGCCGATGAACTAACGAAAAGGCCAACATCGTCCGTTTCCCCATGGAGAGTCCCGGCGCAGCGGGAGTTCCCATTTCTAGAAAAGCAAGCACCTGGCCATCCTTTCAGGCAGGAACGGGCGCGGTGGGCAGCCCGATACTGGGCAGCTTTGCCCCGACAGGGCCTGTGCCCCCCTACGGGTGTGAGCGCCTACCTGCGCGGGTGCTGCCGGAGCTGCACCGTCTCCATGGTGGCCGGGCTCTGCGCTCCTTCCGCCCTCGTGCTGCTTCACCCGCCGCGCACACGGAGCGCGGATGAGCCGAGCCCGTCAGGCGGCGCGCGAGGCTCGGGGCACCGGCTTCCCTCGCGGCGGCTCGCTATTGTCTCGCAAGCCGCGCGGCGCTTCCCTCCAGCCCCGGCTGCAAAAAAACACACAATAAAGCCCCCGACAGCTGCTTTTAAGCGCTTTTAAGCTCCATCTCCCAGCTGCAGCTCCGCTCTCGACTTGTGTCACCGGCTGGCTCGACGTCCCCCGTCTCCCACTCACTTGCCCGCTCAGTTCCCCTGCAGTTTCTCGCCCGAGTCTGAACTCTTCCTTTCTCCGTCCTTCCGCCTGCCTGACAGCTGAGACAGGAAACCTGCCCACGGGTGCTCGGCAGGCGTGGGGCGGGCCGTCTGGGGACAGGACACAGCCGCACCGCCGCAGTGGGGCGGGTAGGGGGCGCTGGTCCCGGGGCTGAGGGCTGCAACACCTGACTCGTGTGCAGCGCGCCCATTAGCGGATGGTCGCCAGTAATACCGCGAAGCCACGAGGTGTGGAAGAAATCTTAAATGACTTGACTGAAGATTCTGTTGCTGAAAGCAAGATGCTCTGCTTGCCAGCTCGTACGTTACAAGGTTACAGCTGTACTTAGTATCACAGAGAAGTGCACTGTCTTGAATTATTTTGCAGAAAACGTTATACAATGTATTTGTCAGGCTTTGCCCAAACAAAACAATACACAGACTGCACTACTGAAAAGCATCTCTTACTTCAGCCAATCATTTCAAGTCTCTTAATCTTAATTGTACATTATCAGTGCCAGCAGAACTCCGTAGCAAGTTGGAACCCAAGTCATGATGTACCACAAGAAACAAGTTCAGAAACAAGTTCTCCTGGTCCTACAGAGTCCTTCCATACAGCCCAACTAACTACTGGGACCAACAGCCACAGAGTTAAACACAAAAACCACAGAGGGGTTTCCATTCTGCGTGTCGGTAGCCTCAGGGACCAGCAGACTCTCGTGTGGCTCCAGACAGGCCTCCAACACACCCTCTGTTTTCTTGTTCTTGTGATCCAGTCTGTGCTAAAGATGCCAAAAAAGGGCACCGAAAAAGATAATCTCACTCCTGGGAGAAGGGGTATTCTGCAGCCTTCAGTCAGTGGACCTTAGAAACGGCTCTAATGCTATCGATGGGAACAGCACTGCTGTTGCAGTCAGATCTCCATCCTCCTTTAATGAGACTGGCTGTTAACAGCTCCATTATGGATAAGAGGACGGTGACTTTACTGGGAACATTCAATTTCTGGTTCGATCAGATAAATTAATGAGATTAATGTCTGTGTAAACATGCCTGAAGTGGAGTCAGTCTGACGTTGCATATGTCCAAAGTAAAATGTAGAACAAAATCCCAAACCTCACAACTGTGTTTAAAGAAACAGTTTATTATATTGTGTAAGGGCAAACACAGAACCCGAGCTCAGAAGTGACAGTACAGTCGACATCAACGAATCAACACAGGATCGCCAAGGTGCAGGAAATTCTGACCCAGAGGGGACAGGAGGCTTGACCTGGAAGAGGAGGAGGAAGTGGTTAATGGGCCACACTGACCAGGTCCAGTCACAGCTCTGGTGCCACAAGCACATCTTCCTAACTGCTAGGACCTCGTGCAATAACTCACATTGCCAAGAAGCATACCACTCCAGCAACGAGACCACACTCTGTGACAGCAAGGTAGGGCATCAGACTGCTGCAGCAAGAACAATCACAGTAGAAACTCACTTCTGCTCATTTGCCTGAAGGCCTGACGCTCTCAAACACACCAGCTTCCCTCATCGCCTCGAACTCCTTCATAGCGTCATATCGCTTATAGAAATCTGCATACGCCCGTTTCCTGGGATCTGCTACTGTGAACTGGCGAGAGAGAAACTTGTCACTTTAAGGAGAATCAGTCATGTATCATGTATACATCCACAAAAGGAAAGAAAAACAACAGTCCTCATAATTCAGGTGTGATTTCTTGGCTACACCCTACACACTCTGTCTGGGTTTAAATCAACAGCATTGAATCAAAAGCACAAAAACAAAGTTTGCAAAATGGGGAAGACACCTAGTTCATTTTGTTCTCATTAGTCCCAGGGCCTCTGACAAAGTGTCTCATGTTCTCCGTTTTGAATTAATATCCTTTGCCCTGGTTTGTTTTGCTGTTGATTCTGAAGAGGTCCCGTCTTTGAAGACTTTGAATATCTCCCTCAGTCCACTGTTTGGGACTAAGATTTAGTTCCTTTACCTTATCAGAGCAGAACATTTTTCTAGCCTGTAACTGCATCTCTACTTCTCTGGACTGACTGCAGCAAAGGTTTTATAACTTGGTGACCGCATGTATACACTAATCTAACTGGAAATCTAACGGTGGAAACTGTAGGGAAATGGATTGGAAAACTGAGAACAGGGCTCACTCTCACACACAAAGGGATGTGGGAGTCTGGACGAGCTGACCAGTCATATTGCTGTTCAATAACCCTGAATCTATGCAGGAATGACCAGACCTTTCTATTAATGAGCTATACATGCCCAATTGAGATTGATGGGATGAGTGGCCTCTTCTCACTTGTAATTCGTGTTCTTTACTGCAGCCAAGAACATCACTTCAGGCCTTATTAGAGACACAATCCAAGGCCCAGGCTAATAAAAAGAAGAGCTCATTCGCTACCGACATTGAATTCCTTCCTTTGACGCCGTTGCTGTATAGGCAGGACAGGCCACAAATACTTGAGAGAATAACCTTGTCTCCCATGCTACAGATTTCAACGACTGAGCACATGCAAGTCGAACAGGCCCAGGTCCTCGAGGGGCCAGGTCCCCGAATCCCGCAGCAGGGCAGGCAGGCCGCCCCGCTCTTACCTTGAAGACTGCAGCGGTGGACAGGGCCAAGATGAAGGCGATGGGCAGGTGGAACCGCAGGCGCCTGGCGAGGAGGCCGCGCATGACGGGCTTGGGCAGGGCTCCGGCCGGCATTGTGGGATATCTGGCAATCACAGACCATCACTGGCACAACGTGTCATCACACACACGGAGCGCTCAGTCGATTAGCAACTGGCTCCTTTCACAGCTCATGTTGTCAAGAATAAGAGCTACACGAAATGTGAAACTGCAAGAACCTCCCTCGTTCTCTAACCACTCGTATCCACTATAAACAGATTTATTCCGTACTCTGTTGCACACCGGTATTTTCTCATGAAATCAGTGAGGCTTTAGAGACTTTCGCAGCTGGGGCGCAGTATTCAGATGCCCCAGGGCCCTGCCCTCTCTAGATCACCTCCGACCTGGAGAGACGAGCCACAGGGTGGCCTGCTGGGAAGAACTGGACACATTAGCACAGTTCACTGCTACACTAATATTCTGAGTTTTACCTGCATCTCTTTCTGAACTTCATAAAACTTCTCATTGGTTTATGAACTCAGATACTAAAAAGTTATTACTTTTCGGGTCTCGCTAAATCTCCTTTCTTTTTTGACTTCCGAACCACTTGCAGCAAGCGTCATTTCACACGGACACTTCAGGGATACAGTCACTTTCGCGCATTTAAAACTACGCATTTCTGTGTTTGTGGAGAAAAGCAGCTTCAGTAAGAAGGTAAAAATCTTTCAAGGAACCCGAGTGTTTTATGACGAAACTCCGTTTGTATTTATATCAGAGAAGGAAGCAAGTCGTTTTCACTTAAGGAAGAAGGCAATGAAAAAGCCTAGATTTCGACATAACTGCGCGTAAATAATCTTTCATTAGTTTAAGAAGAAAACATTAGACGGTATTTTCAACAGGCATGCTTTCGTATTTCATTAAACCCATGTTCCGAGATTACATTATCATTATTCTACCGGTTTTTACGGATGTTACGGTGACCTACCGGGCTCCTTCCGTAAAACCAGAAAGGCAAAAACAGGATTAACGACATGAAAATCAGCTCAGTTTACATTTAAGGGCTTGAGTCTTTATAAATTGCATAATTTTATAAATAATTTAACCAAACGTTTTAATTCTGAACTCACCTGACGAAGACACGACCTTCACCGAACACGAAGAAGACTGGATGAAGCTACGGAGCCCAGCGAGGGACAAACCGCACCCACAAGCGCTTGAGTACGGTGGCTGAAGAGGCACAAACAGCACCAGCGCCGGGCAGTCAGCATCTTTATTTTACACCTAAGGGGAAACAGGGATACAGGAGTCTGCGCGTTTACGATTCATCGTCAGCTCGTTCTGCCCTAATTTTGAATGTGCTAAAAATGCACATGAGATTATTTTCCGGCATTCAAAGAGGAGTCAGGACGCAGTAGCACAGCATGAGTTTATAATTGGAATTTTAATATGGAACTGTAACTCGGAGCGGTCTTATTGAGTAATTTATAACATTAGAAAGTATATCCAATGCTAAATGCTTGGACTGTGCATCCAGTAATTGCAGTTTAGATTTTTTTCCGTTTACAAAACAGATTTACGAAATAATCCGTAAAATACTTGATGCTTTTAGGAAGGGGCATCATTGATCAACTTCATTTTTTAAGAGGCCACGGTGTGGCGGAAGAGAGCCGGTTGCTCACGCTGTGCGTGTAGTGGGAAACTTGGCCAGATCTCCAAACTACGGAAGAAACGAAACTGAAATATTACACCGGCAGAAAGCAGGCCAGCTGTGCCGGGGTGTCAGCACACGGAGCAGGGCAGCAGCGTGGCCGGGCTGTGCTGCAGAGCTGAGGGCAGATATTGTGCGCTATCTCGGGTCCGTCTGGAGTTGCCCGTTTTGCCCACCAGGGAAGACAGGCCGACCCGCTGACCCCTCATCCCGCAGAGCAGCACGCACAGAGCCTCAAACAAGCGGCTCGTCCCGGCTCGACATTAGCAGGCTGTTTCTGGTAAGGCTTCCTCTTTGTCCTTCTTTGGCTTTACTGCCCGTCCGAGCCGGCGCGGCACTGACGTAACCGGGCGCTGTGTTGCAGCGGCGCAGGCGACCCGGCTCGGTTTGGACGCCATGCCCCAGAAGAGGCGCTCCTCGCCGTCCGTAGCGCAGCTGAAACAAGCCGGCAACGACTGCTTCAGGAGCGGGCAGTACGGCGAGGCGGCCTCCCTCTACTCCCGGGCCATCCAGCTCCAGGAGAGGTCAGGTGAGGGTCCCGTCGCGCCACAGGTTTGAATCGGCGGCCCGTCTCTGCGCCCGTGGCGCTGGACTTGCGGGGAGTCTTTCCGGGACCATTAACTGCTCCTCTGGCCTAGATGGAGGTTTCTAGAAGTGCAAAGGCAGTCTCCCTGCCGGTAACAAGGCCGCCCGATCATTTCCCGGCGTGAAAACGAGGGTCCGGAGCAAAATGACACCGGGAATATGACCCGATGTCACAGCTTTAAATCTGCACGAAAGCGCTCGATGTCGTTAGCACAAGATGAGCTGCTGACCTAGTTAAGTCTTGTCCCACTCTCATAATACAGAGCCGGAGCCCCAGTTCAGTTACTCTTACAGGCCAGGACAAATCGCCCCCTATTCAAAAATCAGGAGCACCTATTGGGCCGGCAGCGTTTCCGAGAAGGAAACACTGATCCTTGGGGCTAAAGGATATTCTGATTTTTGTTGCGATTGGTATCTATTACCTAATTGACCACCCGTCCTGTTTAACTGAGCTCAGATAAACCAGAGTTCAGTTGCCCCAGGTCTTTAGAAATTTAACAGTTACCTGTAAGACCTGTTTCTGGGGTTCCTGTGAGATGTAGTAGTTTCTGTTATGACTATAGGTTTAGTATGTATGTACAGCCCCAGACACGTGCTGCTGGCAGCCCAGCTGGTCTCAGTGGGTCAGACTGCTGCAGGCGGCTCGTCTCCAGTGGCCTGCAGCCAGGGAGGCTGTGGCTCCTGGGGGGTAGGGTGCTCTGCACTGCGGTGAACTTGCTGTTTGTGCTGCAGGCCAGAGCAGCACAGAGGAGCTCAGCATCCTGTACTCCAACAGAGCCGCCAGCTACCTGAAGGATGGGAACTGCACAGAGTGTGTGAAGGACTGCACCACGTGAGCACACCTGCGACCGTGCCTCCCGTCTCAC